TTGTTGTTGTTGTTGTTGTTGTTGTTGTTGTTGTTGGTGGCGGTGGTGTTTTCGTTCGTGTCATCTCCCACAATATCAGGCCCAGGCCGCAAAGACTGCTTAACGGGTGTTTGACCTTCGACATTCCTCCAACCACCGCCAGGGTAAGACGCCGTATCCCCCCCGGCTACGGGCTGATGCATCTCGGGGCCAGCTCCTCCACTCGTCCTGACATGTAAGCTCGCCGTCAACGCATCGATCTTCTTCTCAAGCTCCGCAACCCGACTATCCGTCTTCTTCTGCCTCTTCCTCGTCGGCACCGTGACGATGCAGTTGCGCTTCGCCTTCCTGCAGCGCGCACACGGACCTTGACCTTCCGGATCGGAAACATCAGGTACGCATCGCACTTTCAGACCGCGACATGACTCGCAGGCCCGAGGTCGTCTCGCGTCTTCCGCCCCTCCCGGAGATGCGTGGAGTTGTTGGCCGTTTGCTGCCTTGTCGTCGTGGGAGTCGCCTTGATCCTCGTCAGCTTGGCCGGGTTTTACCGACATTCCTTCGACGGCGGCTCCTTCTTGAGGAGCAAGTGTGGCAGAGATGGTCGCGGGGCCATCTGCGGCATCGGCCGGCTCGGCAGCATCGGAGACGACGGGAGGACGGGAAGAAGATGGTGCTTTCGGCTGCTTCTGCTGCTCTTCTGATTCTGCTGCAACTAGGATTGGATAGGGAGCTCGCAACGCTGGATCGACTACGGCTTCATCTTGATTCATGTTGTCGACGAAACCGTGAAGGGAATCGGAGGCATCGGCCAGGTCGAGGGTTTCGCGGGATGTCGGAAGGACGGAAGGACGGAAGGACGGAGATGCGGCGAGAGAAATCGCCGACAACGCTGCGTCATTAGTTATACGTACTCTGGTACCGGTCATCCGATACTCCCGACGCCCGATTTTGCTTAGTCAGCTTTAGTCGGGTTGACTTCATGACCGTAACCTCGCATCCAAATCTCAAATCCTGATACCTTATACCTTATAGACAGGAATATATCCGTATGCATTCACTCCCATTCCTGGCCCATTCTAAGACCAACAGAAACACACAAGATCGGTTAAACATCGATTAACCACCTCGATGCCGTCTCCACTTTCAGCTACCTCTAGTAGTGTACAATCTCAGTCGCCTCGTCCATTAACAAAAGCCTCCTCCCGTGTAATTACCCGCCAAAGCTCATATGCGCATTCTTTGCACCCGAACCAAGAGGCAGGCCAGTTCTCAAAGAAAAAGAAAAAAAGAAAAAAATCCCCCTCCCACCCAAACCCAGAATTATGCGCACAATGGTCCATCCAAAAATCATAAGTACAACTATGTGTTCGTTCATTCGCGTAACCCGATGACATGTACTAAAAATCCTAACCCTGGAACCTATCCCGCAGGTGTCGTCGGTTCTCGAGGTGTGCCATCTCCCACCTTGAATATTGGGTATCTCGCGAGACGACGTGAAAAGAAAGACGAAAAAAAAAATAGAACAAGAATACTTCCCAAAACAAAAAAACCCCCAGAGAGAAGAAAAGTTTATGAGAAAAGTCCAGCAAAGGAAACAAACCCGCTAGTATCGCGTCTCCTCCCGCAACCGGCTTCGCGAGCCCTGGTTCGGATGACTCGCCGCAAGCATGCCGACACCGTACATGGCGCTCTCACGCCGCTTAGTGTTCTTATAGCCAGACTCGTATGACGGCGCGCCGCCGCCGTTCGAGCCGTCTTGGTAGCCCGAAGGGTAGATAGGCTGGTCATACCCGGCTGGCGCGTTTCGAGACCCCCCGTGGTAGCCCGACGGGTCGTAGCCGGCCGAACTACCACCTCCGCCCGGGCCATGATTCGCGTATTGCTGCGGCTCGTATGATATGCCGCGGTGCATCGAAAAGTTCTGCGACGGCGTCGGCGACGCCCGCGCCGCGTTCATATGCTGCAGCAGAGGCGGCGTCACTCCCCCGGCCCTGCCCTGTCCGGTGACCGACTCCAGCAGCCGCTGACGGTGGGGCGACTGGCTCTGTCCCGAAGTCCCGGGCCGTTGCGGATCATACGGCCTCCCTGGGGCGGGCAGGATTGGCGACGGCGCTTCGTATGTCGACACCGACTCGCCCGACCCGGACGGGAGCTCGTACTCCTCGGGCGGAACACCAAAAATCGGCTCGTAGTTCTGCAGGAACATGGCGAAGACGGGTGCCGGGATGTTCAGCGTCGGCGAGAAGACGATCCCCACGTTCCGTACCGTCATCTTGTTGATGTCCGCGTTGTTGATGATCTTGATCAAGAATGCGATGAGATACTTGAGCAATGTGGCGTTTGCCAGCGGGAGCCTCTGCACGAGATCGCTGAGCGCACTAATCTTCTCTCTCCGGTCCGTCATTTCCGTCACCGTCAAAAAGTCCATGTGCAGATCCCGCGTCAGGATCGTCGTCGGCAGTTCGCGCAAGTACAGCTTGAGGAGAGACGCCACCGCGTGGATGTCGTAGTACATCTCGTCCGTGACCAGGTTGATGTCGCCCTCCGTATTGAACCGCTCTTTGAGCTGCTTAATCACCACGTTCGATCCGCTGAGCCGGAAAATCCCTTCCTCCAGACTGGCATTATTGGCGTCCAGATACTGGATGCAGCGGTAGACCACCGAAGGGAGCGGCACAGCCACGTCCTGCGGCGCGTTGTATCGGACAGCTTCCGCTAGTTGTGCCCCGAACACTTGACGAACCGGGCCGTGATAACCGCCCTGCGGAGGAGTCGACGACGCGCTACCCTCGTGCCCGAACAGCGTATCCTGACCGTCAGCCGAGGACCTTGTCGTAGCAGTAGTAGCAGTAGTAGCACTAGTCTTCGGTCCGAACCCGAAGAAACTCCTCTTCCGTTGTTTCTTCTCTTCGTAACTTGGCACAGATAACCCAATTTTGTTGCCCCACGCCGCCGAGTCGGAGATCACCTGCATATCCTTCGGGCCCGAAATCACAATAGGAGAATGCGGCATGTCCGAGTTATCCGGCATGCCAGATGACGTCTTGGGACGCGCACTCTGCGGCAAGTCGCCCTGTGCTGTTGCATCGTACCGGACACCAATTAGGCCATCAGAACCCGAGGGCTGGTGGCTGCCACCCTGATTTCCCTTGCCCTTCTTCTTCTTCGCGCCCGTTGGTTCAGATCCTTCCGAATTTTGACGGTCGTGAGCGGGCCCGGGGGCATCTTCTTCTCCGGGTTCCCGGTAATCGATCCACTTCAGAAGGGCTTCCACCCAACGGTCTCGCTCGGTGTCGCTCTCGGCACAAAGGACGTGCTTGAGGTAGCTGCTCGAGTCTTTCTTCTTTGGTTCCAAGATGAGGAAGGCGTGACGGTACTGGTTATCGAAGTCTTCCGTGCTCGGCGCGCCGGGCCCTGGTGGCTGGTTTTCGTTGTTCTGCGACTGCTTGCCGATCTGTGCGTGAGGCAACTTGATCGTGCCGAGATGTGCGCCCCCGGGTGCCTCGAAGTATCTCAGCCGCGGGCCGTCGAGCACAAAGAACCGAGCCTTCCAGCCGCCAAAGTTCTTCCCCCGCTTCGTCAGGTAGCCGCTTCGGAAGGGTCGGCCACCAGGTCCGACTCTGGCAGTCGGCGAATCTGCCCCGACTTCGGGACGACCCTCTTCGTCGGCATTCGGGGGGACCACGTTGGTCGACAGATATTTGCAAAACTCCAAGGCCGTTGAGAGGTCGAGGGGTGTCTCTAGAAGTTCTTCGAGGTACCGGTCGAGAGCCTGTCTGCGGGCATCCAGCTTGGCCGGTGCATGGCCGGTGAACAGAGCCCGGTCCGGTGCTTTCGTGGTGAAAGAAGGACATTGCTTCAGTTTCTGGTCCAGCTTGCTGAGCGACGCCAAGTCCTTTTCAACTCGCCACAATTCTCCCCGGTCGGCTCGGGAGAAGACGGCGAGCGTGAAGACAGGGTCCTCCTCCAGCTGCGTCAAAGACAGGACGCTAGCCCGTGAAGGCTTCATGCGAGATGACGCTACCCTCACTTGGATCGATGGGATGGCGTTGGGGGGCAGGAGCAGATCCGGGTACTCTTCCGTCACGAACCCCTTGAATATTTTGTGGCGTGCCGGGGGATCGCCCTGGCTCGACCCATCGGCCGGAGGGGCAAGCCTCGAACTCTCTGCACCTTCGCTCCCTCCCTGAGGCGGCAAAACTAGCGGCGTTCCAGGCGGAAGAGGGATCGGCTGCCGAGGGGGCCTAGGCGAAAGGGGGCCATTCGCGTGAAGGCTGGTGGCACGGGGAGACAGAGGAGGGGAGGCCACTCTCGGACCACCTCCTGGCCGGGGGCTCAGCGGCAGTCCAGGAGTCAGGGGTTGGCCCAGTTTGGGCGCCCCTAGCCGGTCACCGTTCAAAACGCCAGCTAGAGAGGCGGCGCCGTTCTGGTAGGTCGCAAACTGCTGCGGGAATTGTCTCGGGCTGGCCGGCAGAGCCAGAGCCTCCGCCGGCAGCTGGGGAGCCTCTGCCACTGTGGGTGTTCCCTTTTGGCTCTGCGATTTGCTCTTCTTCGACAGGCTCCGCATCTCTGTCTCTTTCTTGGCCGAGACTTTTCGTGCCCGTTCATCCTCTTCTCTTGTTCGTCGTCTGCCCCGCCTGTCGTCCAGAATCTCATCCACCTCCAGGATGTCGTCAAAGTCAGAATCAGTGTCTCCCTCTTCGGGCGTAGGGGTCTTGCTCTTGTGGAGTTGCAAGGGTGCGGGAGGTGGTTTCCGTGGCGGCGGGTTGGGGAACTGGGCGATGTCTTTGTCGGGCTTGGGCGTCGCTTCGGTAGCTGCAAGGGCAGGAGGCGCTACAGGAGGCTTGGGAGGTGGTCCCTTGGGCGGCTGGCTGGGCAAGCTCCTTGATGGCGGGAGCGACAAGTTGATCGGTAGTTCTCGGATCTGGCGCTCCTTTTCTTCGTGGCGAGCGGCATCCGCGGCATTCTCCTCCGCCTCGTGGTCAAACTTGTCGTAGGCGTGTTCTTGGGGCTTTGGCATCATGTGAGAGGGATCCAGCATATCGCCCACGGCCGAGGGCGGGCCGTTGTCGATTCGATCTGCGGGTGGTGTAATGGGATAGGGAGCCATGGCCATGTCGATGGGCGAATGCTTCTGGCTGTCCAATTCCAAGCTGGGAGAGTCGGGTGCGACGTGCCGGTCGTCAGGGCCTGATATGTCGACCTTGGGGATGGGCCTACCCAAAACAGGTTCGGATGTTGCGGGTTTTGGTTGGGACTCTGCGGCCTTGGCCATCTGTGGCACGGCTATCACTTCTTTGAGCTTCTTGCGGTACTTCTCCTTGTCCTTTAGGGCCCTTTCCAAGTCTTTGTTCAGTCCCAGGATCATGGCCCGCTGCTTATCGACCAACCGCCAGAGCTGTGAGTTTTGCTGAGACTGGGACTGTTTTTCCTTGAGCAAATATTGTATGACTGCCTCGGGGCTGCCCGCCGTCTTAATCAAGCTAGCGATGTCGGGCATCTCGACCTGGCTTGACTGAGAGCCCTTCCGGTAGTTGGAGCTGCTCGTGGCAGCAGATATGGAGGAGTCGATCGACGAGTTGCGGGGAGCACCGGTCCCAGGCTCTCCCCGGGTGGCAGGTGTAGGGCCCGCCATATTGGGCACGGTCTGTGATTTTGGCAAGCCTTTCGTAGGCGCTGGGGTTGCGACGGCGTCGGATACGGCTCGGCCACCATTCGTGGGAGGGTGATTCGCGATTGATCTACTATGGCATTAAGGAGGGAAAGGGAAAGATTGTCAGCTCGCGGGATCCGGCAGAAGAATGGAGATCGTAAGCCATAGGAGACTAACCGCGAGGCTCCGGCCTCAGGAGTAGAGGTAGAGACGGCCGAGGTATTGCTCTGGTAGAAAGTCTTTTCAGCGGCAAGAAGCTCGTCCAACTTTTCTCTCGGGGAACGAGGCCCCTCTCCGGAGTAGGTCGGGGATTGAGGAATCGATCGGCCGGAATGATGCGGCGTAGTGGCAGGGGAAATATCGGATCGGCTAGACAATGTCGGGCTGGCAGGCGACACAGCAGCCGCTAATGAGAGGGGGCTGGGTATCGGTCTCCGAGTGGCTCTGCGGGAATGGTGGGAGAGTAAATCAGCGGAGTGATACCAAGGTAGCGAGACGAATCGCGTAGTACAAGTGCTGACGGCAAAAGCGAGGGGATTGGGGTGCCGAGGAACAAGAGCTCGTTGAAGACGGAAAAGGGAAGGGCTTTTGTTTGGTCTTTCCCCTCTCGCACAAGTCGATTCACGGGGAGTCCTCAAAGAAAATAAAACGACAAGGAAAATAATAAACCACCGCCCGAGATTTCGATTTCTCTCCCCAGCAGCCTCGGCTGAGAGAGAGAAGGCTGAAGGCAAAAGAAAAGATAAGACTGGGCGGGTGATGAAGGGCGTCAATGGACGGGGGAGAGAGAAGGATACAGAGGCAAGTCACGAAAGGTGACTCCTGCTCACGCGCAAAACTCGCACACACTCCACATGCCTCCTCGTCGCTTTTCGCCCCAGCCCAGTAGGGGAGAAGTGACAGCAGCAACTCTGGGGAAGGAACGGACGTGAAGCGAAGGAAGACCGGGGAGTGGTGAGAAGATGGGTACGATGCATGCCAGGGCAGGACAGGGGCAGGGCGGAGAAGAGCAGAGCAGAAGGGCAGGGTACAGGCAAAGTGGGCGATTGTGACGCACCTTGGGGATGGCAGCGAGCCTGCGCTGGGAAGAGTTGAAGCGTGTATCAAGCGAATGGTAGACGGAGTTTCGTCGAGCAGTGGTGAGGACGGGGTTGAAGGAGATGAAGGAAGCGAAGATTGACGGCCGGGGTGGGTGGCACGGCCGTGGGCGCTCTGGGGCGCATGCTGTGACATTGTCCCCAAAGCAGGGGCCTCGGGACGGGGACGGCGATTGATAGTGTAGCGTAATACTGGTGGTAATTATTACCTACCTTAGGTACTCCTCTTCGTCCCCGTACGAGTTACAGGGCTCAGTGGTCGCAAGACGGGGCAGTTGCAGTTGGGCTTCTTCAAAAGGTCGTCCCAAGGTGTCACCGGGGTCTGTGTGTTGCGTGGAGAACGTCGCTTGGCCTACTACCAACGAAGGCAGGAGAAGGTCCGGATATAACACGGACCAAAGGGATTTCGGGAGTTTTTGGCTACCCCCGATTGACGACGCATAGAGTATACGGAGCACGTACGTACTGCGTAAGGTATCATTAACGTGAGGGAAAGAAGAGCGTGAATCGAAACTGATGGTTGTCTTTTCCTTCCAGGGGGGGGGAAGAGCCGTGCTTTGTCCGAGGCGGAGACACCGGGCAATGGTAGGTACCTTAAGGTACCTACTGTACGAATACCTCATACGAGGTACCTAAGTACCTACAGTACCTAATTATTAGTTCACCCCTTTGCAATTTTCGGGCTCGGGGGCTGGGGGGTTCAGATTTTGGGGGGTTGGGGGGAAAGCGAGCAACCGTCCGTCCACGAATTGACAAAGAGAACCGCAAGGAACGGTATAAACCCTCAGAAACAATTAGTTCTTACATAATTACTTGGACATGCCTTTCCCTAGCGTGTCCTTCATCGATTTAATAAAAGTTCCTTAGAGGTCCAGTTCGGAGACTGGTTACTGATTACATCGAGATAACGCGGGCGAAAAGGATAAATACAGGTAGGCACCTTACCTTAATTAGGGGACGATCTAGATTTAGGAGTCGCCTTTCACGATTGCTGGGAGAGGGTTCACCACGATGTATGTTGCACCTTTACTACGGTAGCATCCAATAGGAGCGTATGGTCATCAGCCTGTATCTTTGGGCATATATAGGACGAGCTGCGCTGCAAATACCATTATCATCGTCAACCTACCATACCTTACTCATAAGGCAACTGAACAAGCCAGCCACGTGTACGTATAAGAAGCGAGTACGCCATGCGTTGCCTTAAAAAACGGTGCTAAAACTGCTGTGGCTGCTTGTTTCCAGACCACATCCTCTCGACGTGTTCTGCGCCAAACAAGAGCCGAGAACGAGAGCCCGACGAAAAGAATGCCACACATCAACAGCGACGCCCTCTTCGTGAAGTACGAGCGAGTACCTTGGGTACCCAGGCAGGTAGCCTGTCTCGCGTTTGCATACGTTGTATGTTCTATGTCCGGCTCGCCGAAGTATTCGTACAAACGGTAGATGACCAAGAGTGTATGTACCTGTACGAAGCTAGCATCAACTCGGCATCCCCGTCTTTCCCCTTGAAACCCCGCCATATTACCATGAATTACGAAGTACGTGTAGTGTACAGAGGGTACCGTAGATATCACCACACTTGGCCGATCCGTACGCGAACGTCATCTCGATAAACATCTCGGTCAACCCAATGCGTGAGTTGGGAACGCATCCAGAGTGCAACCACACCTTACCTGAGTATCCGTCCCTACCTGACCACTCCAAAGTACGTGTTCATACGTTGTACGAAGTAGGCTCTGTGACCCACAATCCCCTGTGCAATTAATCGAATGCGACCCCGAAGAGAGCCTAGCTTCGTGCCAATGTGCCAATCGTTCAGCACAGACGGCAGTTCGAAAAGGGCAGGCACCGTAACCCGCCCCCGGGTCTGTAAACCCTTTGAACCCCCCAAGGGCCGAAGGATGTTCGTGAAGTGTCAAGTGATTATTACGAAGTACGAGAAAAAGGACGGAAGGCTGACGAGGTACTGGACAACGAATGGCAGAACGGCACCATGTATATGGACTGTTCGGACCATCGTCGCCTCCAGCGATATGTACTTCGTAATTACCACCCAACTCCCCTGTGGCTTTCGGATGGGCTTTGCTGGTCATCGCTTGCATCGTCGAAGCCGCCTCATCTATCCCATGGGACTTACCTAACCCCGATGGTCCTCCAAATAGCACCCACTAGTGATATTATTCATATGTATCCTGCAGGAGGTTGCATATGTTCCTGCAGCCAGTGTTCTCCAAAGCAAGGAATCGACGTGATGCTGTTCTTCCAGGCACTGCGAGTCCTTGCATGCGGCATGCTGCTTGGGTATCTGAATAAACTGTAGGAAGCCGGTATTCGGCAGGCTATGGACGGATCGCAGATAGGTACTATACATACATACCGAGAACAGGCATATCTCTGTCCAAGAAAGAAAAAAAAAAAAAGGAAAAAAAAGAAGGAAAGAAAAGCCTAGTTGTGGCGGCAAACAGCCCCCTGACCTCATACCCGGTCGAAGATCCATGTTATTCCCATGCCATCCGCACGTAATTACGTCTTCCATATTGTTCGCCGTTGTCGACAGTTTGGGTCCCAACGGTGTTTTTTTGTCCCACCGTGGCTTTGAACCCAAGACCCAGACCTTCGGGAGAAACGCCCTCTCATCTTTGGCGTCTTTGTCCTCTGCTGGTATTCAAAGACGATCAAACTTAATGCAGGGGGGAAAAGCCCCTTCTACTTCGGAATTGACTGATTCCCCTTCGCTATCCTTTCAGTTCAATCGTACGGAGTGCCTCGTGGTTCAGTCGGCCTTACCGAAAGAACTTCGCGGCCGACGGCCTCGACTAAGGAGCAAACACAAACACACACAAAAAAAGAATAATAATGATAAAAAGAAAGAAAGAAAGAAAATCGGGCGGTCCAATCTCCTTGGACGATCTGGCAAAGATCTGGACGACCAATAGGGACCACATGCCTCGCCCCTTCCCCCTGTTCAGATGATTCAGGGGTCGCCAACCTCCATCTCAGCCTTTTCCCCCCTCTGTTTTCAAGCAGAAGGCGGTGTGACGGAGTCCGCCAACTCTGGGACCAGATCGCGTCCGTTCAGATGACTTTCTGACCCCTTGACCACACCCCTGAAAGATGGTGGTCCGAGCGGGCCGCCCATTATGACCCACCCGTCTCGAAAGAATCTCATCTCCATCTCTTCGATCAACAGCCTATGAACATCACCCCCGAGTCCATCCACAAATCTGGGACACGCAGCCTGAAAGGACGACAGCAAGAAACCAGCTGGCAGTCAGGGACCTTCTTTCAACGTACTCGTTCCTCGCTCTTGTGTGTGTGTGTGTGTGTGTGTGTGTGTTCTTGCCTTCTCCCATACAAACAACTAAGGGCGAACTCTCTTCTATCTCTGTCGCTCTCCCGCTTCGCGCCGTCCCGTCACAATCATTCATACCAGACGAAGTAGGGAAAAAAGGGAGGAATGAAGCATGTCGCAGCGATTCAGGAACCGGAAAGGGGTCCAGTTTCCCCCGCATTCCACAACGGGCCCCCACGGGAACCCCTAGGCCGCCTGCAGATACCTGCACTGCATTCTCCGGCATCATCTCTCCCGATCACCACAGGAATGGGTGTGGTTTCGATCAAAACTCATGGCGTGATGACCTTCCCCATGCTAGATCTCCACATACGACGTATACCATTTCGAGTCAACAAAGCGAAATGGAAGCCAAGCCGCTTCTAAGAACTTTTGATTTGTATGGTACGGTACGTTGTACGTATGGGTCGCCAACCGCCTACCTCTGTCCCGTGGTTCCCTGAATCCCCCGTTCTGTCTGAAACGCCCTCAAGACACCGTTCGGCCACAATACTACGGGTCGTGACCGGAGAATTCAGCGTAATGGAACGGATTGTAATAAACAAGCAATCCCAACACACATCAGTATCCGTACCTTTATATAATGCGACTTGCTGAGCCACCTCAGTCCAGGGTCCTCGGCCATTCCGGCCGGCCCTTGCATTCTTCGGCGCCTCCCCCGTGTATGAGTCTTCTCTTTTATGGGTTTGCTGCTTTGGTTAAGGGGGTCATGCAATACGACTATGCTGAAGAGCGGCGGCTTTGTAAACTCCGCTCCTTCGGCTTATTTTCTCTTCGTCAGGCATGAGTGTTCCAGCTGCTGCTGATCAAGCATCACTCACACAATGGTACGAGACCGAGACCGAGACGGAAACGCCCTTTGTTGCCATTTTTATATCTTGCCAGACCATGTTCAACCACGGGCTCGATGGGCTCGTGAGACGGAGCACCGGAAGTTGGCGGCTTTTTACCATCATCCTGTGATGAGAGCAATGGGAAAATGTCCGTTGACATCTTCTTTTGCACCCCTTGTCCAAAGGAGGCAGGGGATGCATTCTAACGTTTCATATCGATTTAGGCAAGGCATGTGTCCTCTGGTCATAAGGCAGAGGCAGTAGATGAGATGGGCATACCAGCTGGCAAAAATGGGTGTGTGACTATTAGTGTTCAGATACATTTGTAGGACTTATATTGTACGATAAAAAACCCCGAGGTCCCAGAGCAACCGGTCATTCTCGCATCGACTGTACATGTCGTTATGAAGATTCCGTCAGGACGTATACATAGAATCCAGAAACCAAGTTTACCTACCAAACCAACGTACCAAGCCTGAAGTGTGCAAAACGCCGGCTCAGAAGTCCGTCCTTGGTCGTATATGTAAGCACGTAAAACACATAGCATCTGTTACATAGAGCCCCTGCAAGACAGCTGAGAAAAGGGAAAGCAAAAAAAAAAAAACAAGAAGAAAAAAAGTCCAAACAGACAGGAGTATCACGCAGCTCGCTCACTCAGCAGCGCCGATCATAAGGATAAGGATCGTAATACTCCCTCTCCCGAATGCGATCCTCGATGCAGATGCGCGTGCGGTCCTCCTCGGGCGGGGGCGGCGGGGGGAGCATACGAGGCGGCGAGGGCGACGGGCAGTACCTGCGCGGCGGCGCACTGATATAGCGGTACGTGTCGTACTGCGGGGAAGGGGACCGGGGCCGACAGCGCACGGGGACGGGGACGAGCTTCTCGCGCTCGATGTAGACTTCGCGTGTCTCGATGTGACGCGAGCGGGACCGGGACCGGGACCGGCGCTGCTTCTTCTTCTTTCTCTTCTTCTTATCCTCGGACGGGTCGACGTCTACGGCGATGACATCGATGGGCTCGGGTTCCGGGGGAGGGAGCGGGATGCAGGGCGGTGGGAGTGGCGCCGGCACCTCGATCTTAGGAGGCGGGGTACACTCCCGAGGCGGAGGCGGGGGCGGGGGAAGGATGGTGGTACGGGTCGTGCGGATGGTTGCGCGGTCCGGGATCGGGGGTTCGAGGTAGAGGCGCACTTTGGAGCCGCGCTTGCGGTCGGTGCTGTAGTAGTCTCTTGGGTAGGCTGAGGCGACAAAAAGAAGGTCAGCGGTTACTTTCAGGGAGGGAGAGACGTTGGGAATCGTGGATCTTCTCGTACCACTCATGATGACAGGATGGTACTACGTGTGCGTGATGGTGAGATGCCCACCAGGATAGTGATGTAGGTCTGTGGCCTTCGGAGACGATGCGACAAGGAACAGGCGCTGCCTTCGTCGACGTTCGTGTCGCTGGGTCGCGGGGTCGACGAAAAGTTGAAGCAAGAAGACCAGTTACGAGGTAGGGCGGGGTCTCCTGCGGTCGTATTGGGAGAAGTCGAGCACGGCGAGGATGATAGACGGACAGTAGGGAGGTGGTATATATGAGGTGAGGCTTCGAGTTCAGACGAATCGTCAGCTAAACATCCAGCCTATCCCCGTAGCAAGGGGGGTTCGTAAGGCTTACGTCTGTCTGCCTTGGGATGTAAGAAGAAGCCGGGTTGCAAGAGAGCCAGCGACAAAAGACCACGAGCTGGTTTTAATCGTTTCTCGTCTAACGGTCTAGAGCGTTATCAGTCGAACGGTGGATGAGAGTGGGGACGGAGTCGACCGATGGCGTTGGTACCTAAGGTAGGAATAAGTCATGGAGATGACAAAGGGGAAGATAAAGCACAAGGGAGACGAGTGTGCGGAACTCGAGGCTCGACCCTCGGGTTTCTTCTACACGTGTACTTCCCCTCTATCCCCCGTGGACAATGACGCAAGTCCAAAGCATCGAAGCAAGGAACTCGGCAGAAAGTTGTCAGCTCACTCTGTGGTGGGTGCACAGGGGGCGGGGGGGTTCATTGACACATGTGTGTCATTTCAGCCACATTTCTGAGGCGCATGATAATAAGTGGCTGGGCCCTTCTCGATCAATGAAAAGAAGCCAAAACGGTTATCCGCCATGACTTGATTAAGACCTCGCTTCTCCCGATTGTCCTGCTGATCTTTCAACGTCCTGTTCCCCCATGACTGACATCAATCCCGCTTCTTTTTCCAATAGGCACATGATCAGAGCGCGGTCCAATAGCCGATCCATTCGCTTTCTTCGTACATGGTGTTTTCTTGTCATGTCCGGCCCTTGATTGTGCTTCGTTCAGCCAGGACGCCCAGCGAAAGAAAGGGGGAAAAAGGGCCAGACCACAGAAAAAACGAAGATCTTGCTGCATGCTATGGACACCCCTCATGGAAGAAAATGGGAAAGTCAAAACGGGACAAAAAGAAAAGAAAAGAATAAAACTAAACTAAACTAAACTAATCGATGACAGGCGGATTTGAACCGCCGCGGCCGAAGCCATATGATTTCTAGTCATACCCATTAGACCACTCTGGCATGTCACCCGCCGATGTTGTTGTTTTGGGTCCCGTTCCTGGCGCCTGACTAGTCTTGCCAGAGCGTGTAGGATCGTGAGTGGATTCATCACGGATTTATATCGGATTTATATCGGATTTATATCGGATTTATCGTTGCGCGTTGGCGGCGCCATCGAATGATCACTTCCACAGGAAACTGTTAACTGTTTCACTCGAAATTCTCATCTTCGTCCGCAAGAACATTTCCTGTCTTCATGAGAGACTGATCTGTCTACAGACTCTTTAGCCGCGAAGTGCTTCATCATTCCATCATAACCTGGCGTTTCCTCATCGTCTATGGGCTAAGTCTCTCATGGTGCTCTGAAGCCATGATCCAGCTAGAAAGAAATGAGACCAAGAAAAGAGTTGAGGGCGTTCTCTACCCAAGCCGAGTTCTGATATGGAAAGGCCTGAAAACTGCTTATCCTGTCACCTTCCTTGGGTGAAAACCGAAAACCCAGACCAACAATCTCCCCCTTGCGTCAACCAAAAAACTCCAATATCGCAAATCCGTAAAGCAAGCAGGCAGCCATGCATATGCAGATGCAAAATGCCAAACAAAGCATGGGCGATACGCTGCCTGTATCCGTTTGACTCGTCACGAAAGAGTGGCATGAGATGAGAGATCATCTTGATGACATCCGTCGGACCGTCGCCTTCACATGCTGCCTTCACATGCCGAACTGAGCCACAGCCTTCTCAACTTGCTCCGAGGGTAATTCGGGACCCAACCAGTCCCATCCATCGGGAGCGTCATCGTCGGTGATGAGACCCGTGTGGCGGAAACGCCAAATCACCTCGCGCCAGGGGAAGTAGTATTCCTGCATGCGGAACCAGAACTGCTCGATCAGAGGACGAAGGTACGGCTGCTTCTTCATCCAAGGTACGACCATGATATTGAGACGCGCAAGGGGGAGCAACATCTTCCTCGTGTCGTCGGGGTAGTACTCCTCTCTGCAGAGGCAGGTGTTGGCATACCGGAGCTTGGTCTCGCAGTCTTCATATTGCGTCGGGTGAAGACGATAATAGGCGAGGCTCTTCTTTTCGGAGATGAGACCTCTGAGTGTCCCGATCGCTTGCTCGACAATCTTGAGGGTATATTCTTGCAGCCGGGCCACCCTCCAAGAAGTTGCGAGCATGTACATGTGGATGTTGGCCTGGATGTAGCCGAGATCCAGAGGATTACCCTCATCGGGCTCGCAAATAGCGAGGTCTATCGCGGCCGGAAACGAAAAAAGAACAACAACAGTCAGTCAATCCGATTTCTCGATTGTTGGGTGTTCAGAAGGGGATCTAATGGCCGACTTACGGTGCGTATACATGAAGAGGAACATCTGACCGTAGATAGTGATGGACCACTCGCCCATACCGACTGTTACGGGAGACCCGTCCTGCCATATCATACCATAAGCATCTCATCCACTCCCCAGTTTCGGAGATGCATGCTGGAAAGAGACATACCTCATTGGGAGGAGGGAAGCGCTCCCTCACCCAACCCGACTCCTTCTCCAAAATCTCACGATGCAGATGCATCGAGTCGTACCCCTTCTCCGGCGACGTCGTCTTTAGAATTATGTCGCCAGTGTGAGTGTTGGACAGGAGGCTAATTTGCAAAAAGACAGGCGTCAGCACACTCGCTATTGAGCTCACAGGCAGGCATCCAAAAGGACATGGATGAGTTGAGGCAAGGCAAAAACCAACCCAAGGGGCCAGCCAAGCCTAGTATAACGACAGCAGGAGGACACGAAATGAACAACTTACTATTTTCCTCGCTGGCACGATCTAGCAGACTCCACCTGCTGCTTCACGATGGCGAGCCGCTCCTCGTAGGTGAGACCCGAAGGATGAGGCGTGCCGTCCTTGGGGTCGGGGTCGGCCGAGTAGATGAAGCCCCCCTCGTGAATGGGACCTTCATATACTGTCTTGGCCTTGCCCTTGCCCTTGGCATCGGCCTTCTCCTCCTGGTGCCCACCCTCGCCATTGCCGCCGCCGTCCTCGTCCGACTCTTCAGGAGAAGAGTCCGACTCGGGCCCGGGGGCGGAGTTGGCGTCGTCGGCGCCGGCGGACTTGACGACGGAGAGTTGTTCAACAGCCTCCGCGACCTCGTCTACAGCTTTGGAAGCCGTAGACTCGGCCGAGAGCGACTCACCATCTGGAATCGCAGGGGTCATGGCGGTGGTGGTGTTGGTGGCCGCGGTGTTGCGAGCCTCCGCTGACATTTTGGGGGTTTTGTCGGTTGTTGTAATTTTGTCAATAAAGAAGAAAGTGGTTCGCCCAAGGGAAAGAAAAGAGAAAAGAGAAAGAGAAAAATTAGACTGTTTTAACCAGTTCCGTGGGGTTCTCTCCCGGAGCTTCTGAAGGCAGATATAAGTTATAACAGCAGGAGCAGCACCTGGCGACTCACAGATATTGTGGTTACGGGGGCCGCCGCCGTTCCGGCTGGCGGACCCCCGAAGAACGTCAGCGTAGGACTGTCCTTTCATATTGACTCTTGTAATAGGTATACGGGTCAGCTGTGTGTGATCGTTAAGAGACAAAGTCATAGTAGATGGTGATGTTATTTCGACTTACTTTCCTGGCTGTAGAGATATAGTATCCGGAGAAAAGAAATTGGCCAAGCTGCCAGCTAATGATATCTGCTTTTATGGCAAGAGCGCTTACTCTTGCCTCCTGCTTAACTGCTAGTAAGAGATTTCACACCTTCCTTCATAGTAAGAGCTGCATATATCTCAAATTCTGCACTTTCCTCTCCAAAGCTTAGTAGGCAGCACCTTCCTTACTTTATAGTGTAAGTAAAATAATGTACAATCAAGCAAGTGCTATAATTCCATTTCCCTCCTCTATTATGTCTCTTCTTGATATAAACACCCTCATGGGTTTCTTGGGCTTGGGTTATGTGTGTGCAACTGGAAACCCTTGCAGAGTGACATCTTTGTCCTCTTACTTCAAAGGGAGTTAATGGTAGCAAACTTGATAGATAAAAGAGTGTCTCAAACTAGACCCTAACTCCATACACATGTCGATTTAACTAGTAGCTATAGTATACTAATATACGTAGCTATCTATGTATCTTCTTTTCATGAGAGTATTATTTGTATGCTATGCTTGGTCAGGGTGTCTGTTCTAAAGGTACGTCTGCAGTTTAATCACTGAAGCATAACTAAAAGTGATAACACGGGATCATGAACAATAGAAAATGCCGAATGACTTCAAGTTTCTTATCCTAGTCTTTAGCCCTTTACCCCTTCAAGTTTCCAATTTGCTGCTCAGCAGAGATATTATATGGGTTTCATGACAGGAACGCAAGCCAATACCATGCCCAGGTATATACTTACGCCGTGGGTAATGGGTTTGTCTTGTGAAAACATGAATTATACTTCTGGCATCGTAGTTGCCATACTCCAGTGATTGAGTGGGATAGGTAAATAGTATTAGCCTTGCACAACCACACAGGGTTGCCAAGGTCGCTGCCTATGCCTATGACTAGGAACTTCATTCCCTCCGTTTTCCCGACCAAGGCTCAAGCTAGATTCCCTCGATGGAAAACAACAAATGGCAATGTTAATAACAACAATGAGAACAAGGTGTATCCAATGCTATTGCGCCATGCCCCCATCGAAACAAGAAAGATCTTCAGACCAAATTGCCCAGAAACGCCCCTGCTCGCCATTGAACTCCCACTCAAACTAGGTTATCCACAGGGCCGAGCCGACAGTGTCGGTCGGCAAGGATAATAACAGAAACTGCATATCATTTCCCTAACGCGGGAGCCACCTGTTGATCACCTTAGCTTCCTCCTACCAGCGTGTACAAGGCCTGAGCAAGTCGGCGGCGGTCAGTGCGGGGACCGAAGCCTGGTCCAAGCCCCGAGAAGCCATCTGCTCGGCCCAAACGGTCCGCACCACGCGACGGAGATCGCCCCATTTCACAAGTCCGTCCTCGAGGCCGCGGGTGGGAGGGAAGGCATGGGTTCCTATAATATCGCCGTCGTCCAAGGTGTGCGCGGTGGCCTTAATGTAGTTGGGCATGCGGAAGCTGTTGCGCGAGTCGGTCTCGAAAACGAGGACGACAGTCCGGCACCGCGGAGCGTGTTGGAGGACAATCTGGAGGAGCGTGATGCAACCCCTCTCCGTCTTAAACTGGGAGCTGGGAAAGGCGAGACATTGGATGCGCCCGAGATGCAGGTGATGGAGGTTGGGGAAAATGTCCGGGCGAAGGAGGATAATGTCGGTTGCGTGGTTCACCCAGTGCCCGCGGCGCGCCGTGCCGAAGACACCAAATTCGAAGGCGCCCCCCTCGGCGCTGGCACGACGGGCTTCGCGGCAGACGGCGCGAATGCGAGGAGGCGGGTACATGATCTCGAATTTGATGGCCGGTGGGTCAGGTCGGGGAGTTGGGTTGTGGTTCTGATGGTTCGCATGATGCATGTGGTGGAATTGTAGAAGACCGGCACCACCGGCACCAGCAGCGCCGCCGCCGCCGCCGCCACCACCACCACCACCACCCCCGGCTCCGGCACCACCACCAGCACCAGCGCCAGTGCCAGTACCTCCTCCGCCAGTACCAGGGCCGGCGCCGCCACCAAACCCTACATTAGCCGGAGCGACGAAGAGGTGGGGTGGATGGGGAACTTGGGGAGGTGGGTGAGCGTTACCCATCGCATTCAGGTGAATGTTGATGGCAGCCGTGTGGGCCGGGAAGCGGCCGGGATGCTCGATATAGGGTTCGAAGATACGGTGACCAGGCAGGGCCAGTTTCCAGATCTTCATGCGAAGCTCCGGGGGGAGACGGTTGAACAAGGTAAACTTGGGATGGGTGCTCTTTGATGAGGAAAATGAGGAGGGGGGGTTTGACGAGGAGAAGAGAGAGTTGGAGAAGACAGAGGTGTGGCCGTCGGCGAAAGCGCTCGAGTTCTGGTTCAAGGTGCGAGGGATCATGGGTCCCTGTTTGCTGTTGCTGGTGCTGTTCTTCTTGGTTTCCCTGAGCTCCTTGATCTCAATCGCCTGTCTAGCAATCTCGTTTCTGAGGTCTTTAACGGCGCCGGTCAGTTCTTTCAAGGTGTTTGTGAGGGCAGCGACTTGGTCGGCACCGGGCGGAGCGGCCTCATCTGTCATGTGGTCCGACTCCTCAGCCATTTCATCAAATGGGCTGTGACAAAATGGACGAAGGAAACCAGAAGCCGGACGATATGGTTGATTGTCGATCCTGTTTGTTTGTGGGTTGTTGAATGAGGGCAGGCGGGATATTGATATTTTCAGTCCCGGGTTGATTTGGTTTGGGGTTGGGAAGGGAATCTGTTTAATTACCGTGTACCTAATTAATATGATCTTGACAAACACGGGGAAAGAGCAAGCAAGCAGAAGCAGGTGGTGTGGGTTCCGTACCTTCGGTGGAAGTGGAAGTGGAAGGAAGGGTCCGTGCGTGACTACTCCGTTCCGAATACGGCGCCACAGTACCACAAGTAGCCCGAAACCCAGATATTGTGATTACTAATAAGCATTATTTACCTTCAACGCTCACTGAGCCAAGCCACCGAGTGATGGCAATGGCGAAATTCGCGATCCATGGGCATCCCATATGATGTGGCATACACACCAAGAGTTGCACCAAGTTTGTAAAACTACATGACTTCTTTTTATCTTATCAATACCCGAAACTATGACGCTATCGAAAGAATCTGTTTGGTCGCGTCCGGAAGAGTGACCTCAAGCGGGGTATACTCCAACCCGAGGACACGGGCAGCCTTGGACCCATCCACGGCATAGACATCCTCCGTGAGGCCCGCACCAGGGGTGCCCTTGGGGATGCGGTCCTTCACCTCGGGGAGAGCGGCACGGATCGCGTCGGCGGCCGACTGCCAGTCAAAATGCTGACCAGTGAGGAAGCGCTGCCCTCCGGCCTCCGGGGTCTCGACGGCGGCGAGGAGCGCGCGGGCCAAGTCACGGACATCGACGAAGGCGGCAAAGTCGATGGGGAAGACCGACTCCGCGTCGATCAGCTCCTTCAGCTTGGCCTGCGACTCGCTCAGGCGCGACTCCGCGAAGCGGCCGACCGACGGGCCGAAGACCCAGGGCGGGCAAATGGAGACGAGGTCGAAGGAGATGGTGCCCTTGTTGGACTCGACCCAGTCCCACATGGCCCGCTCGGCGAGGCTCTTGGAGGCGCAGTAGACGGATGCGCCGTTGGAGTCTTTGGCCGCCTCGTCCCAGGTCTCCGGGTTCCAGTCCTTCTCGGTGTAAGTGTATCCCGGGCGGTAGCCCTTGCCGAGGTCGAGGATGGCGGCGAAGGAGGAGACGTTGACGACGCGGTGGACGGATGGGGCGTAGCGCTTGGCGGCCTCGAGGATGGCGAGGGAGCCGTTGACGGCTGGTTCGAGAACGTCCTTGACGTTGTCTTTGGGCTGCAGGATAAAAGGAGACGCAGCGTGGATGATGGCGGTCACGCCGGAGAGGGAGTCGGCGTAGGACTCGGGCTTGGTGATGTCCGGGATGATGGCGGTGGAAAGACGCTCGGAGGTGGCCCCATCAACGGAGAGTTTGGAGCGGAGCGTAGCGAGCGAAGATTCCGAGCGAGCTGCGGCACGGACGTTGTAGCCGCGTTCCAAGGCGTGTGAGACAATCTGAGCCCCGATGTAGCCGTTGGAACCTGTGATCAAGACGGTCTGCGACGAGGGTTGTGAGTTTTGCGTCATTGTGGTGAATGGATGGATTATCTTTCTAGCTTAGGGTGCGTTGTACGGGTCGTCGTGAGTTGGGAAGTTGATGGAGATGAATGACTGGAATCTGGAGATGAGTAGATGATATTGACGGATAGCGAGGGATGGAAGAGACCATTCATCATTTATAGTCATTCACGATGTTGACATTGGAGGGGGAGAAGGCTACGAGAGAGAGGAAAATCTCTATGACGGACTCCTGATACTGCCGCGATGTATAAGTATGACGTCGGGTGGCACGGATACCGGACATAAAGGCACGGATGTCCCGGAGTGGGATGAGTAAGACAACGGGATGGACAGGAATTTTCGAATTACCTAATAAGGTACCTTGCAGTAGCAGTTCTAATAAAGGATGATTCAGCAGTTCTTCATTGGAGGAGCCTCGAAATAGGTACGAACTCACGAAATCACCCAACAGCTTGGGTCGACTACCTTATCCGTATCCGTAGGATCTATCACCATCCCTGTATCCCTATTCTGGACTATTCTGGATGATAACCCCTTGATCAATACCAGTCACCAGCTGCACACGAATTATTCATGGCTGGCTTGTTTATTTCTGCTGATTGAGGGGAGTCACTGCTGCTTGGCCAACTTGACTCATTAGGCTACGGAGGTACACAAATACCATAAGTATTCAATTATTCAGCCCGCCCATCAACATCCGTGATAGGAATAGGGCGGGGTAATTCCTCTCTCTCCCTCCCACCTTTCAGCATCGACAGTAATACAGAGTAGCTTCCCTCATCACCTTACCTACCTCCTCTTGCCCACCAACTGCCAAAGTCCTCCCCAAGGTCCCTTACTACCTTACCTTACCTTACTACGGTAGGTACCTACCTACCTTACGTATGTGCATCTTCCATATCTGTAGTTCCCCCACTCCCCATAATCATCCGAACCCATTATCTCCCTCTACTTCGTACTATCTCCCCTAACCTATTTCTTCGATAGAGACCAGCAACATGTCCGCATCGATCACACAGATCGAGTCCAAGGCGCAATTTGACAGTCTCATCAAAGAGACTGCCATTGTCGTCTGTGACTGTAGGTAGCCAGTCCTAGCCCATTCCGCCATCACGACGAGCGAGCCCACCATTGCTTTCCCTCCGTCCCTTCACTCCCTCTCAATACACGACCGACCACTGCTGCTAACACGGACCACCGCCTAGTCTACGCTGACTGGTGCGGCCCTTGCAAGGCCATCGCGCCGTTCTTCCAGAAACTCTCCGAGACCGCCGCCGGCGTCCCCAGCGTCCGCTTCATCAAGGTCGACACCGAAGCCAACCGCGACATCGCCGCTACCTATTCCGTCACCGCCCTCCCAACATTCATCGTCTTCCAGAACGGCAAGGTTCTCGAAAGGATCCAGGGTGCCGACCCGCGTAAGCTACAACAAGTCGTGGTTAGGCTAGCGGGCCATCTGCTATCTGGCAATAGCGACGGCGCCTCAGCATCCGGCAGCGGCAGCGGCAGCGGCAACGGTAACGCCGGCGGGGCTAACGGCTCATGGAGGGGCGCCGAGCTTCCCCGCGGATATACGGATATCACGAGCCAGATCGAGCCCAAGGGTTACGAGCTACTCAATGCGGACGACAATTCGGGTCCTGTCAAGGTGCTCTTCGACGGTGCCAAGCCCAGCGCGTTAGGCGAGAAGAAGAACGAAGACGCAAAAGACAAAGACTGGGTCGAGAGCGGTCAAGATGACCAGCTCCTACTCTTCATGCCTTTCCAGTCTATGGTGAAGCTGCACACACTTCAGGTGAGTTTATGATTTGATTTCTTTATTTTGCTTTTAAAAAACCCACTTCTGGCTAACTCTTTCTTTCCCCAAGCTCACCTCGCTGCCGCCCAAAGACGACGACGACGACGCACCCATGCGTCCCGGCAAGATCCACCTGTATACCAACAAGCCGCATAACCTGGACTTCAGCGAAGCCGACGACACGCCGCCGACGCAAGCCATCGAGTTGACAGAAAAGGACTGGAACGCGGACGGCACGGCCAACATCGGGCTCCGCTTCGTCAAATTCCAGAACATCACGAGTCTCATCATCTACGTGGTCAGTGGCGAAGGCGAGGGCGACAAGGTCCGGCTCGACCGCGTGCGGCTGGTGGGAGACTCGGGCGAGAAGAGGGAGATGGGCAAACTCGAAAAAATCGGCGACGAGCCTGGCGAATAGTGTGGTGCTTCGTAACCTTACAATAGGTGTCGGCTCACACACGTAGGCATAGGCGATAATTTTGCTTTAATCTACTGGCACGATGGCGAGCAGACAAAACGCAATTGTGATGGACACGGATAGGAACATTTTTTCTGCTTGCCAGTAGGGAAGACCAAGGGATGCATTATGAACTCTGATTTTATGATAATGGAGCATTGCTATCGGCGTGGACGATGATCGCGACAGCCCACGACGCTTTAGACAGCAGGCCTGCACATATCCGACTTCGAGACATCACGTAGGTGAAAAGAAGACAAAAACAAAAACACGAAAACAATATCTGTTCGACCATCCCCCTTACGAGCCAGCAAGCGCTCCAAAACCCCATTTCCCTCTTCGCTTTACCTGAAGGCAAAACAAAGGGAAAAACGAGCTCCAGAGCGCCGAAGAAGCCAGAACGCCAGGAAAGAGACGAGCCGACCTGCAATTTGATTGATCTGGGGCATAACTGACGCTGCGACGAAGGTGACAAAACCATCCACGGGAATCAGGACTCGAGCAACACGGGAAATAAATTCATGTTATGCCAGCCGCACGAAGAAAAAAAAAAGAAGAGGAGAAACAAGAAAGATTGGCGCGGTCGATGGGAGGGTTTTGTACCTGGAAATTTTGCGACGGGTGGGGCTATTACGTCAGCTGACTGTGCACGTGAATTTGACGCGTTGATGAGTAATCGGAAATATGTGAACATCGCGTCGTCGGCGACGACGCGATGCCCAGGGGTAAAAGTGACTTCTTGTCCGACGTGCATCGTCTGCTGAATACTCGGCCATCCAGCCTCAATGTCCCTGTCTTGCAACCATGCAAGAATTGAAGAATATCGGGACAAGATGCGAAGAAATAAGAAAAAAAAGTAGATCAAACAATGCTCTTTTATTCTACATGCTGCTCTACGCAGACGAAATCTCTTGCTTCACCCAGCTCTCCAGTCCGCCCCTGGCAATGATCTCCTGTACATTAGGCGGCAGCTCGCCAACTTTTTGACTCCAGGTCTTCCCGCCCTCTCCCTCGGTGACGGTGACCTTACTCCTCCTCAAGTCCCACGCGAACTTCCAACCCGTGCGACGCGTCAACACCTTCTCTTCACCCTGGGAAACCTTGAACGTCTCCCGTAGTCGCTGCACGAGGCGCGGGACCTCCACGAGCATCAGGGCGTTGTTGACGCTGTTCCGGCTGAAGATGTTCCCAAAGCTGCCCGAGACGACAAGCGGGATCTTCTTGGCCAGGATGGCGGTGGCGGCCTGTTCGCGGGAGCTGCCGCATCCAAAGTTGTATCCGGCCACCAGGATATCGCCCGTCTTGACGACGTCGACGAACTTGGTGTCGAAATTCTCCATGACCACCTCGGCCATCTTCTCCGGGCTGATGTTCTCCTGGTATGTGTATTTGCCAGGGTAGATGCCGTCCGTGTTGATGTTGTCGGCATCGCAGAAGACGATCTCTCCCTCAATCTTTTCCGGGAAGCCAGGCAGGATGTCGGTCAGGGCCTCCTCCTCCTCCCCTGCTTCGGCGGCCTCGACTCCAGCTTCGTTTTGCTCAGCGCCCGAAATGATGCTGTCGGCTTCGGCGATGATCTTCTCCAAGGCGTCTTCGATGCTCAGCGCCTTGTCTTGCTCGAGCAGGCCGGTACCCTCGCCGATAATGGGCTTCTCCACGCCCTCCGGCTTCTGGTACCAGCCAGGACCGGCGATCTTACCGTGCAGAGCGCTGGCGGCGACGACTTCCGGGCTCGCCAGGTAGGCCTTGGCGGCGGTCGAACCCATGCGTCCCTTGAAGTTTCGGTTACTCGCGGAAATGCCCACCTCGTTCGGCTCGAGCAAGCCAGTGCCCAGGCCGATACAAGGGCCGCAGCCGGAAGGAAGCGGCTCGGCCCCAGCGTCGAGAAGGACTTGCCAATCCCCGGACTCTTCCATGGCGTGTTGTTCGACCAGAGAAGCGGCTGCCATGTAGAACTTGACGCCAGGCGCTATTTTGGGTTCGAGGCCCTTTTCAGCAGCCTCGCGGAACACTCGCGCCGCTGCTTGGAAGTCCGACGCTCTGCCGTTGGTGCAGCTGACCAGGTAGGCCTTGTCGACCTTGATATCCTGGGCTTCCAAGTCGCGGAGAGGCGTCGCCACCTTGACGGAATTCGGCCCCGCGACGAAAGGCGACAGTGTGGAGAGGTTCAAGTACAGCGACTTGGCGTATGGGGCGCCGGGGTCGGCGGTCGGCCGGTCTTGCATAAGTTGGTCAATCCTCTCGTGGGTGAACTCGTTGGTAGAGACGCCATCCCCCATGACGGCGGACGCCGTGGCCTTGGCGCGCAGCCATTTCTCCAAGGTCGAGTCGATGGGGAAGAGTCCGGTCAATGCGCCCCATTCCGTAGTCATGTTGGCGATGGCCAGACGGTCATCGACGGGTAGGCTAGCCATGGTCTGCTCAGAGCCAGTGAATTCGATGGCGTGGTTCAACACTTCGTCCTGGTTGAACAGACCGCAGAGCGCAACGATGACGTCCTTGCCGGTGACGCCCGGGGGTAAGACGCCGGTGAGGTTCACCCTGGCCACGGGAGGGACCTGGAACCAGGTCTTTCCGGTCGCCCATATGCTGGCGGCGTCGGTACGGACCACGGCAAGGCCGACGGCTCCAATGCCCGAGTAAATCGTCGAGTGCGAATCCGACCCCACCGTGAGTGTACCCGGCCAAGCGTGGCCCTGCTCGATCATGATCTGATGGCCAATTCCGCGTCCGGCAGGGTAGTTTCGGACACCTTGCAATGTAGCAAACTCCCTGATCCGTTCATATTTCTTCAGATTCGCTTCGCTCTTGTTTTGGACATCGTGGTCCAAGGCCATGATGACCTGATCAGGATCCCGGATTTGGGTTGCCCCAATGGATAGAAACTTGTTGATGATGGCGGCGCTGTTGTCGTGCGACATGATGCGCCAGGGAGAGATGCTGATATAGTCGCCGCTCCGGACGACCTTCCCCTCCGGTAGACCGACGGCATAGCGTTGTATAATCTTTTCCGTCAAGGTCTGTGGTGACTGTTTCTCGGAGGAAGGGGTGGTGAAGGAAGGAATGGTCGACTGCTGGGCGTGGAATGCCTTGTATCGACTGGTTGTGCTCAACGAACGGGAATATAGCGAAGGCGAGACATGCGGTAGCTGTCGGTGATTTGTTCGGCTCGACAGGCGGCCGATAGATCGAGGCCACAGCGGCCAAAGCTTCGAGAGGTCAGATGTCGAATGGCTAAGGCTACTCGGGACAATTCTACTTACTGATCGGCACAACATTGCGTCTGCTGTAGGGGGACAGGGAGAGGGAGAGGGAGAGGGAGAGGGACGCAGCTGCACTTCTACGGAGTAATGTTCAAGATGGTGTCCTCCATTCAAACAAGTTCAGGTACTTGCCATGGTTAACGTGGGTTGACGTGACTTTGCCGAAATTTTCCTCCGAGAGCGGCGATTATGTCAGCGGAACCGGTACCTGGGACCCTGAGACATTCCCGCGCTTCTTTCGCGGTTATGAGTAATCGGAAATTGGAGGAACCTCAGTGGCGGAACCTAAGAACCCACCGCTGTCCCTTGTCCCCTGAATGTTTGTCTGACTCGAACGCCGGAACCCGATTTTCTTGGTACACTAATTACGGATTCGAAGGTCTCTCAGGACGAGTTGATTGAGTTCGGCCTGGAAGCGGTTCCATGAATTCCATGTTGAAAATTATCCTGTCTTCTCACGCTGGCGACATATCGTGTTGCTACAATGTGGGTATCCCGATATCTCATCATGATCTATGGCGAGCCTCGGAGTTACGACGTAAGAAGAGATAAGAGAGGAATCACAAAGAGAACAACTCACAACTCCTTCGACTGTGGAGCACGTGGTCATGTGGGTTGACGATAACGTAAAAGCCGGCCGCTGGCCCTTATCCGACGATAGCTGTTGCTGAAAAAGAAAAAAAAAGAAAAAAAAGAACAAGGCCGAAATGGGCCCCGTGTAAGTGGGGCCGACATCCTTCCCTCTCTATAACCTCTATAACTTCCCCCTACATATGCCGCACTATCGTCTTCCCCTCGCTTCTCTCTTCTCTCTTCTCTCTTCTCTCGGTTTTCCCAGTAAGGGAAGATAATACTATCATGGCGGTTCATCTAGGGGCCTCATCCTCTTATCTCTACACTCTATGTATCAGTAACACCGAACGGCGGAGCGGCAGAGACTCCTCTGTCACCATCTACCCCTACTCATGACACCTCAGGGACGTCCGCTGCCTCCCACGAGCAGCCTCCCGCCTCTATCCACTCTCCCCGCCCTAAGCGAAGGCAAGCTCCTCGCAGCTCTCGACTCCCTGACGGCCCTCTACCGCCCTCTGCTCGGGACCTCCCTAGCCCTGGCAGGAGCAAGTGCTGATATGGTCCCGGGCTCGAAGAAGGACCCCCCGCCTCCTCACCCCCACGACCCCGCCGACTCGGGTTACGTCTCGGCGACCGAGACGGAGGACGAGGATGACGACAACCCGGCCACCTGTCCTCGCGGGGAAGCCCTCGCTTCCATCCGCGCCGACTCCTTCGAGCGAGCCCACGCCGAGCGCTGGCTGACCGGCCTCCTCGGCCGCGCCGCCACTCTCCCCTGCCTCGCCGACGACGGCGACCTCCTGAACCGCGTCCTGGACCTCGCCTCCGGCATCCTGGACTCGTTCTACGCCGCGCCGCTCGACGAGGAGGAAGCCCGCCTGGAAGAGGCGGCCTCCTTCACGCGCACCTTCTCTTTTGAGCCACCTCCCGCCTTGGACAGGGAAGAGAAGAAGACAACCTCTTCCTCCTCCCCCTCCTCCCCCTCCTCGCCCATCCAAGTCCACCTCAACGACGGCCTGGCCGGCACCGACTCCTCCGATCCAGACGACGTAGGCCTCCAGAGCTGGGGTGCCGCCGTCATCCTGTCCGAGCTCCTCTGCTCCGACCCGTCCCACTTCGGACTCACCCGCCTGCCCACATCGTCGCCGCGCATCATCGAGCTCGGCGCGGGGACAGGTCTCGTCTCCCTCGTGCTCGCCCACCTCCTCCCGCGCCTTGGGGTGACTGGCGACTCCACCACCATCATAGCGACGGACTACCATCCTTCCGTCCTCGCCAACCTCGGCGCCAATGTAGAGGCCAACTTCCCCCCACAAAAGGACGAGAAGCCTCACCCGGCCGCCCCTCTCGTAGCACCGCTGGATTGGGCCTCCCCACTCGACGCCGAAAGCCCTCCTTTCCGCCACCTCGGGGGGGCCGACATGCTTGTCGCCACCGACGTGGTCTACGCCCCGGAGCATGCCCGGTGGCTCAGAGACTGCGCCTCCCGCCTCCTCGCGCCGCACGGCATCTTCTGGCTCCTCGTTACCGTGCGCCGTGCGGGGCGTTTCCAGGACCTCCGTGTCGCCGAGACTGTAGAGGCCGTTTTCAGCGGAGAAGGGGACGCAGGGAGGGACTGTCGTAGGGATCCTGTCGGACGGAGGCTGGCCATCTTGCATTCCGAGACGTTGGAGAAGCGGAGGGGCGTTGGACGCGGGGACGAGAGCGACTACAGGCTTTTCAGCATAGGATGGGCTTAAAAAAAAACAGCTGTCGGGGGTTTTGCATAGCGTATTCTAGACATGGCGTTGGATCATTAGCATTGGGTCATTAGCACGCATCTAGACTCGGGTGGGAAAATACGATAGACACATTCTGAAGTGTTGAGCGAACATCAAACGACGGGCCCTCGATAGTATGAGACAGAGAAGAAGGAGAGACGATGAGAGAGATGATAATATACCGCAAATTAATGTCCCACCCTTTGGCATTTCATATGTAGATCAGACTCTTATCTGGTCATGTTCTGCTTGCTAGGTGACCATTCTTCCGTATCAAGTTTCGCTATGATCGTAACTGAGTTATTCTTCGCGTCGAGGTAAATTCCGACTGGAGACTTGCACCCCCGAGACAAACTTGTCCCATTTAGCTTTCTCCTTTTTTTTTTCTTTTTTTTTTTTTTTGCTTCTTCCATTGTGTCGGGAGACAAATAGCATGGCAAAGCTAGCTATTGCCCTTCTTCCTGGCGGTAGGTTAATGATGTGTCGTTGGGCAAAGGGTTTGGCCATTGTCGACGGTGAACTTGACCATACACTGAGCACATCTTCATTGTTATTACATGTCATTCCCTGATGCTTTATATATGATATGGTTGGCAAGACAACTTACTTGTTCAGAGTCCAAGTTGCGGTGTGAAGGTAGGGCACATGAAAAACAATCGGTCCACCATTATTGCAATGGTCATCGTCAACGCTACTAAAAATCATCGCCGCCCTTTTTTCTCCACGTAAGCCATTACTTCCTCCAAGCCAGGCGTTAATACCTCCGACTTCTGGTCCGGAAGGTTGTGCCACTGCAACCGGCCTTCCAACCCCACGAGGTCCTGAAGCTGTGGTGTCTGGGACGTGGGGCGTGGAGGGGCGAGGATACGAGTCATACGAACACCAAGACGACATGGAACCATAGATTTCTTCCCCTTGCCTTTCTTGCTTTCCTCCGAACCGGCATCGCCCTGCCGAGTATCATCGTCCAAGCGATCGCCCGGCGGCTCCTGAGACACCCGGAGGCAGTCCAATTTCCTCTCCACGGCAACCCGGGACACACCATGCTCCCGGTCACGGCAGCCCCCCACGGCGTCGCACCTGTCACATGTCCCGAAGAGCGTTCCGGCCGAGTTCCCCGGAAGTGCGCGACAGTAGAGTTTCCGTGTCGGGCCTTGGATCCGAACAGACCGTATGCGTACCTCGTCGTGTTCATCGTTCACGCCATAGCCGGTCAGCTTTCGCCACTGCTTGACGCGTCTAAGGTCATCAAACGGTAGGCCGGCCTTGTTGTCATCGCAGACCACAGGGACCGGAACCGCGGCCGGTGAGGACGGGTGACTTGGGGGTCCCTCGTTGAATAAATAGGAGACGTTGTATATCATCGACGGTGAAACCAGCGGCCATTCGACGTCGGTCACATCAGACTTGTCGCCAACCATTGTCGGGTTGGACTGAAGAGGGCCTAGTGGAGACTCGTTAGACTCCCCTCGTCGCCTATGTGCTGTGCGGACTCCTCGCACAAAGTTGAGGGACTTTTTGTAGAATGAACGTATTCTACGCATGGATCTTCTAGGTTTTCGCTGAAAGCCTAAGGTAGACACGATCTCGTTCAGTCGTTCTAGGGAGGTCGTGGTGAACGGAGGTCCACGAAGGGTAATGACTGGAGGCTTGCAGCTTCTTCCGATGACGACGGTAGAGTCTGCTCAATCCCGGTCAATTTGCTCAACGATACTCGGTGTATCCCGATTCACCGCTTTGCACCTTCAACTTTGTCAGCCTTGGAGGAACTCAAACAGGCCACGAAGCCTCTTACCTGGGTGCGCTCCTCAGTGTCCGGAAGACGTACGGAAGACCTTTCCAGTGAAGAGGTACAGGTACAGGTACAGGCTTTCAATGATCGAATCCAGCCACGCGACACCTGACGGCTTGTTGCTACTCGTATATTGAGTTCAACGGAGGTAAGTTGTCTGTCAACATGTATACTGTTCAAGGGGCGAGGAGAAAGGATAGAAAAACCGAGTTGGTCAGATTGCATTTCGAAACAAGTCATGGACAGATCTGGGGGTGTGTGTGCGAATACGGGGAGAGGTAAAGCCTCGAGGTTAATTCGGTTCGCCTTTTTGCGCCTCGTGGGTGGTGGCACCCGCCACAAGGCCAACCGTGCCTAGCAGATATCCAGCTGCGGCTAAAGAGGTAAATCGTTTCGTGTTGAAAGTTGTCTAGAGAATCTCGTTAGTCGCTGCGAAGCGTGTGGCTGGTCATATCAGCGGAAAGCGTACCGAAAAGAAGAAGAAAGAAAAAGAAAAGAAGAAGAAAGAAAAAGAAAAGAAGAAAAAAAGAAAAAAAAGGAAGAAAAAGAAGAAAAAGAAAGGAAAATATAATACACAGAATCAAGAGTCAGGTCGAACATGAAGCTTATCTATGCAGAGTCATAACACGAGACTGTTTGTCGACTGTCGAGGTTACATTAACATGTGTTTGCAAGACGTTGAAGGAGTTCTAAAGGGCACAGGGAAACCCAATAGTAGGGACGGGCGCAGACGAGCAATAAAGCGGAATCGGGGCGAGTGGGTTTGGGCCTCGCGCATGTCTGAAAAAGTACTTTTATTACGTCGCTACGAAGAAGGCGCTTTTATCATGAATATCTGAGACACACGCTGGTTAGGACGTACTCGGCTTCGACGAACAAAGGGACAGGGTAGGCAGGACAAACCTGGTTAAGAGCCGCATCATCAAGTGTGGCCATTCTCTTAGAAGCAATCCATTTCGACCGCACAGCATGATGGCCTCGTAGAACGGGAGTGGATGTCCCGGAGCCCGTGGTAGCCGGGGTTGAAGTCCCAGTATCCGCGGTGGTAGTAGACTTGGAAGACGTTCGCGCTGTTGTGCTCGGTGCCGAGTCGTCACTTTCGGCGGCCTCCTTTTCGGATCGCTTCGATTTCGACTCCTTCTTCTGCTTCTTCTTCTCCTTCTTCGCGGCCTTGTCGAGTTCGGAAGCAGTTTCTTCCTTGCTCTTCGACCTCTTCCGCGACGTTTTGGACTCTTCCGTGTCAGAATCGTCAGAGGAGTGCCCGCTATCCTTCTCTTTCCTCTTCTTGGACTTCTTCTCGGCCTTTGACTTGCTCTCCGCCTTCGCTACATCCTGCTGGGTATCACTTGATGCGTTTTTCGATTTGGACTTGGACTTTCGCTTCTTCTCCTTCTTGTCCGAGGTCGACGTCGTCGTGTTCTCGTTTTCGTTTTCGTCCGAGGTGGCGGCGGCGTCTGGCCGTTTGGCCTTCAGCTTCCCAGCCGCCTTGCGCTCCTCCTTCCGTCGCTTCTTCTTGGCCTTTTCGTCTTCGCTCGACGAATCTGACGAGTCCGAGTCGGACAATTGCTCCGCCTTGCGCTTCTTCGACTTTCCCGCCTTGGATATCTCCGACGGCTGCGAGACGGACCCCGTGGCTTTCTTCTGGTCCTCCTCTTCTTGCTTTACTTCATCAGGGACGATGTCCTTTTTTTCCTGATCGCCGACCAACCACCCTCCCTTAACGAACCGCATCGCACCGAACTTGGTTTGGCAGTAGAGCGTCGTCTGCATGGCCGCCCTGGCCTGTTTTTCCTCCTCTATAGCGCAGTCGGATTTGCCGTTCAGACGGGCGAGCATGTCCTGGAACGCATTCATGCCAGTGATCTGCTCTTCCTTGGCTCTCTTGAAGCCCAGCCCGAGCGAGTCGTCCTTCAGAGTGATGCGGACGAAAGAAGCGTTGGCGGCGGTGTAGTGGGCAGCCTGGGGGGCGTCCTTAGCGCCGAGATACTGCCCTGGCTCCCATCCCTGGGAGCGCAGGATCTTCTGGCCGAACGAATTGGTGTCGCGAGCCCATTTCGTGTTGTTGGGGTCCTTGTCGATTCTTCGACGGCTGGAAATCTCAGTCAGCTGGGGTGGAGTTGCGATATCGGAGACAATAGCTCCCAAAACTTACACTTTGTTTTCGGCCAAGCCCATGGCTTCGAATTTCCGGTTGACTGTCGCCGTGGGGGTGGACGGAAACAGACAACACCGGAGCCTGAGCTGTGAAGAACAACAAGACAGACGATAAGAACTTCATTTTCCAGACTGAACTGTTTGTTATCGTGAAAAAGATTTAGTGGGGTCTTAGATCAGGCAAAACAAAAAAAGGTCCGTGCGTTTACATGGGTTGTTCACCGAAAATGTCGCTGCTGTACTACACCGAGTTGACCGAATCCCTCACCGACACCGTACTTCCACTAAACGTCGTGTTTCGTACGAAAAGAAGCAACATAACAAAATAATACGGTTCTAATAACAAAATAATACGGTTCTAATATACAAGTGGTGAGAACGGCAGACGCTATATAGAATACTTTATGGATGCTCCTTGTTCCTTATGTTCATAGGATCCACAGACTGGGGTATGAAGTCCCTCACCTAAAACGCATAGACAGGAAGGAGTCACTGGCAGGCTTGCCCTTTCACGAGGGTTGAGTGGCCGCCACATTCTAGCCCTAGATGTTCTTCTACTTTGGTTGTTACAAGTACACAAGGTACCTACAAAGCGGTGGCAATGTCCTTTTTCCATGTCGAAGTTGGATGTCCATTCTCCCGTCGTCACTTGCTCCGAGGTCACATCACACACACCCTTTCATGCCTTTAATGACATGGTTCAATGACCTACACAGCGTATAAGTGATACGAGGGAAACGAATAAATGCGGACAGCCATGGTTACCACTCATTACAAGTCCCAGGCGGCGCCATCTCTGTCTGCCACTGCTGAGTCGTGCATCGCCGAGCCCTCCGGCAATGATTCGGCCTTTATCAGCAGCGAGGGAAGGGAATATTCACCAAAGAAATCCAAATTCGAATCCAAACCCGGACCCAAAACCAGTACCAACAGCAGGAGTCAAGCCAACGGAAACACAGAACCATCCAGGAGAAAAGACCTCAGTCCACAGCAGAGGATGACCGAGGTATAAACCGATTCCGCGCCGGAGGAGCAAGGATAAGAAGGTCATCGCAGGTTAACGCATCGGGCTAACCAAGATCTTCCTATTCCCGACTCTGCAGATCAAGAAAATCCAAGACGTTCGCCGTCGGAGGGTCATGAGCGACTACACGAAGTGTATGTCTGCTGTCAGAGAGCAGCTCCTCGACGCCCTGGAGACCGAGTTCCGCATGAAGTATGTCTTCCCCCGCAAGCCTCTTCTCGTTATAGGCTTTGCTCAAGACCACTGCCCGAAATATAATGGGAGGCAATGATGAGTTCACTGACTGGTGGTGTAGGGGAGAACAACACCAATCGAACATGGACAAATACCTGAAGGCTGTCGCGCGCCGTAAGAAGGTAGAGCAGAGGCTCATGCACAAGCTAAAAATACTGAAAGAAGCCAGTGAGGACTTTGGGAACCAGCTTGAGGCTACGGTAAATGGCCGCGCCGCCGAATCGGCCCAGTCGGCCCAGTCGGCCGAGGGTGCTGCTGTTGCTGAAGACAAGGGCAAGGAGAACGAGCAGGCTCCTCCCAATCACCCTTTTGCATCTGGTGTCCAGCAAGCTGAGTGGAAGCAAGGACAGTAGCGGTGAATTGATTGGAAGGTTTGCTTGGGGTCGCTGTGCCGATCAAATCGACCCTTGGTGCAGGATGCGCATGACACTGTCAGCGGGGCGGATACGGAATTCGCTTCCGGTTTATCCATGCAATAAGAAAGTTGTGAATTGACCTAACCGGTCGGCCCTTCTCCAACGCCGTCTAGCCCGTGAAAATGCGTGTTGTTCTTGGAAAGTAGTGTACACTATCGTAGCATGCTTTCTCCTTCGCGCCATCGATCGCTGCGCATCGGCACGTTATACCTCGAACCCAAAGCTCTTCATGCAGTCTTTGTATTTTTGGATAGTAGGGAGGCAGTCCTTAGTCGGGTCGGAAGCGTTGGAGAACAGCATGCACTCGTCGCGCTTGGCTTTTTCTTCTTTGCAGACGCAGCAGGGCTATGATTCGAATGGTCAGGTTCGTTCAAGATCTGCAAGGGAAATGTAGTGTAGAAGAATGGGGTCGCTGGTCCGCGCACCTTGGGCTTATCCTGCTGGGTCATTGCCGGCGCGGCGGCGGGAGTGTTGAGGGTAGCTGTCAAGTAGAGTGTCAGTGTAAGGGGGGGGGGAAGTCTATTGCGAGTTCCGATGAAGATACGTACGGACTGCTGCGGCTTGAGAAGACATTGTCGCGGCTGATGCGTTGCAGCGGATTGTTGAGGGTCAGTAGGTTGATTGTCACGGTCTGGTTGTCTGTGTTTGATGAAATGAATGGGTTTAGGTAGTTCGTAGACGTCGTTTGTTCGGAATGTCGTCTTTTTTTTTTTTTTTTTTTCGAGTCCTGCTATCGGACCATGAGTTGTTGATTTGTCAGGTCGGCCGAACTCTCCGAATAGGTAGGTCCATTACTCGGCATTCGGGATCGGTCGATTGCATCAGGTGGTCACGTGGTCATCTCGTTCGGTATGAGTACCGGTACATGAGGACTACGGCTACGGTTCGCTGGCTCCCGAGATGGGGATGATGTTCCCGTTATGCAGTGGTACCTGTACTTCACAACGTGATTGGTCATATACCGTTAATGTGACCCACTCTCACCTGCGACCTCTCAACGCGCTCTCCAACAAAAGACGACGACGCGACTTCCTCCTGGGCTGTACGGAGTAAGGCTGAGAACGTCGTTTGGATATCAACGACATCACCAATCCGACCAGTCCTCATCATGGCACCCGAGAAGAAACAGAGGTCTTTAACAAGTTTCTTCTCGTCGCAGCCCAAGTCGAAACCGCAGTCTCCCGCTGCCTCACGAGAACCTCGCACACCCTCCGAAACTTCTCTGCCAGGCAGCGCCCGGAAGCGACCCCTTGAAGAAGATGCTGACAGGGTCAACAAGCCGGCAAAACGGTCTAAAGGGAGGACGGATGAAGAAGCGGACGTGCAAGAAGCCAATCCATTGTCCTCCCCTGCATCAAATCGACGGGCTGCCGCTGGCCATTCCACTCTTCCGAGCATACCGTCATCCTCAAGGACTGAACGGTATCTATATGAAGAACCAGGCTCATCCAATCCGTTACCGGTAGAAGAAGAAGAAGAAGAGGAAGGTGGCACGTTATCCAAGAAAAGGAAAGAAGAGTTGCATAAAAAATTCGTGAAGAAACTCGGCCACCCTGACAGCATGCAGCTCCGAGGGGGCCGCTGGAACGGCGACGGGGAAGCTGTTGCCGCAGGGGTAGGGGAGGACGAAGATGGCGGCGAAGATGACGACGACGAGCCCAACCCCCCACCGAAGCCGACCAGGAAGACAGGCGGCGGTGCGAGCGCGAAGGCTGGCAAGAAGCTCACCCCCATGGAACTCCAGTTCCTCGAGATCAAAAGGAAGCATCTCGACACCATCCTGATCGTCGAGGTGGGCTATAAGTTCCGGTTCTTCGGCGAAGACGCCCGTATCGCTTCCAAGGAGCTCGGCATTGTCTGTATCCCCGGCAAATACCGCTATGATGAGCACCCGTCGGAAGCGCATTGGGATCGTTTCGCCTCGGCCAGCATTCCCGTCCACCGCCTCTCTGTTCACGCGAAACGCCTCGTTGCTGCCGGCCACAAGGTTGGCGTCGTCCGCCAGATTGAGACGGCCGCCCTCAAGAAAGCTGGCGACAACCGAAACGCGCCCTTCATCCGTAAACTCACCAACGTCTACACCAAGGGCACCTACATCGACGAGACGGGCGACCTCGACATGAACGCTGAAGGAGGTGGCCCCTCTGGCGGCTATCTTCTCTGCATCACCGAGACGCCTTCCAAGGGCCACGGTACGGATGAGAAGGTCCAAGTTGGTATCGTGGCCGTGCAGCCGGCGACCGGTGACATTATCTACGATAATTTCGAAGATGGCTTCATGCGTAGCGAGATTGAAACGCGTCTCCTTCACATCTCGCCCTGTGAGTTCGTCATCGTCGGCGACCTGACGAAAGGGACCGATAAGATGATCCAGCACCTTGCTGGAAGCAGCACCAACGTCTTTGGCGACCGAAGTCGTGTCGAGCGTGTTCCTCGCTCAAAGACCATGGCCGCCGAGGCCTACTCGCACGTCACACAGTTCTACGCCGGCAAACTAAAGGGCGACAAAGCCGTGTCACACGGCGACGCCGACGCTGACGCTGACGCCGACGAAGACAAGAACGACAGAGCCGGTCTTCTCCTTGACAAGGTGCTGCATCTTCCTGAATCCGTCACCATCTGTCTCTCGGCCATGATCAATCACCTCACGGAGTATGGCCTGCAGCACATCTTCGACCTGACCAAGTACTTCCAGAGCTTCACCACCAGGCAACACATGCTGATCAACGGTTCCACCCTCGAGAGCCTCGAAGTCTACCGCAACGCCACCGACCATGCCGAGCGCGGCAGTCTCTTCTGGGCACTCGACAAGACCACCACGCGCTTCGGTCAGCGTCTCCTTCGTCGCTGGGTCGGCAGGCCGCTCCTCGATAAGGACCGGCTCGAGGACCGTGTTGACGCCGTCGACGAGCTCGCCCGCGGCCAGTCCACCGCCCACGTCGACAAGCTCGAAACCCTGCTGGCCGGCATCAAGACAGACCTCGAACGAAGTCTCATCCGCATCTACTACGGAAAGTGCTCGCGCCCGGAGCTCCTCGCCGTCCTGCAGACCCTCCAACGCATCGCCTCGCAGTACGTCGCCGTCAAGTCCGCCAAAGACACGGGCTTCGAATCCCGCCTCCTGACCGACGCCATCCTGGCCCTGCCGCGCATCCTCGAACCCATCATCACCTTCCTCGACAAGATCAACGCCGACGCCGCCCGCCGGGACGACAAATACAACTTCTTCCGCGAGGCCGAGCAGAACGACGACATCCAGGACCACAAGATGGGCATTATCTCGGTCGAGCAGGAACTCGACGCCCACCGCCGCGACGCCACCGCCAAGCTCGGTCGCTCCAAACCCGTCGACTACACCACCGTCGCCGGCATCGAGTACCTCGTCGAGGTGCCCAACACCGACCTCAAGCGCGTGCCCGCCTCGTGGGCCAAGGTTTCCGGCACCAAGAAAGTCTCCCGCTTCCACACCCCGGAGGTTATCCGCCTCCTCGCCGAGCGCGACCAGCACCGCGAAGCCCTCGCGGCCGCCTGCGACGCCGCCTTCGCCGCCCTCCTCCGCTCCCTTGCAACAGACGCCTATCAGCCCCTCCGCGACGCCGTCGCCTCCCTCGCCTCCCTCGACTGTCTCCTCTCCCTCTCCCGCGTCGCCCGCCTGCCGGGCTATACTCGCCCCACCTTCCTCCCTCCCTCCGCCCCGCCCCAAATCTCCATCACCGCCGGCCGCCACCCCATAGCCGACCACACCCTCGCGGGGGGGTACATTCCCTTCTCGGCTTCCCTCGCCTCCCCTAGCCCATTAGCCTACCTGATCACCGGCCCGAACATGGGCGGCAAGTCCTCCTTCGTCCGCGCCCTCGCCCTCCTCGCCCTCCTCGCCCAGATCGGCTCCTTCGTCCCCGCCGCCTCCCTCACCCTGACCCTCGTCGACGGCATCCACGCCCGCATGGGCGCCCGCGACAATCTGTTCGCCGGCGAATCCACCTTCGCCCTCGAGCTCTCCGAGACGGCCCGCATCCTCCGCGCCGCCACCCCGCGCTCCCTCGTCCTCCTCGACGAGCTCGGCCGCGGCACCAGCACCCACGACGGCGCCGCCATCGCCCACGCCGTCCTCCACCACATCGTCCGCGAGACCCGCTGCCTCACCCTCTTCATCACCCACTACCAGGACCTCGCCCGCGTCGCCGACGGTTTCGGCAACGCTGCTACTTCGACTTCTTCCCTTTCAGAGAACCGAGATGATGGCAATCGCCGCGGCGGCGCCCTCGTCAAGAACGTCCACATGCGCTTCACCGCCACCAAGACGACGAGCCAAGGCAGCGAGGACGAGGGGAGCGAGCCCGAAAACATCGACAGCCGTCACATGGGCAACGACGGCGAGGAAGCAGAAGGGGACGAAGAAGCGTCCTCTGCAGACGAAGAGATTACCTTCCTCTATGAGGTCGGTGAGGGCGTGGCGCACCGTTCCTACGGTCTCAACGTCGCGCGCCTCGCTCGCATTCCGAGGAAAGCCATTAACCTGGCGGCCCGCAAATCCAGCGAGATGGAATGGGACATGAAACTTCGAAGGTTACGGGGCACGGCACACTTCCTCTCCCAGGTCGTCATATCCGAAGATCCGTTGAGCGCCGCCGACCAGCTTGAGCACCTCATATCTAGTATTGAGCAACTCTAGCTGGAGATTTCTGTTTACGCCGTTCTGCTCAAAGTGCCTCCATGTCATAGCTGGTTAAGTCACGGAACAGAGCCATTGTGGAATTATATAAACCCATGTATTTTTACCCGGCCTGGGGGCATGTAATCTAAGTTACCAAGGCGAATTAATACTTCTGGAAGAAGTGAACTACCTAATACAGACCTCCTTGCTCTCTTACCGAAACGCAAAACCTCAGACGACTCATCGTCATCCGAAGACGTGTCTTAGGTAATGGGAACTGCTCTTGGATCCTTATGCTGGACCCAATGTCTGTTGCCATAGACTGATGCTAAGCAGATGTCCTAATTGTGTCCGTTGCGTCCGAGACTCTCAAGGGTCCCGGTAACAGACAATGCCTCTAGCCGAGTGGCTTTTTTCTAAGCCCATCCATGCGCCTGTATCCACGGCAGATACCATGGTTCCGGTGGTTGTTAAGGAATGCAGATGATAATGGTGCGTGTCATTAAACCACCGGTTTGGCCAGCGTTGCCGGCCTAATTTCACGGGAGTTACAGACAGCAGGCTGGCCCTAAGCCATGCTAGGCCGGTGTAGTATATCGGCTCTGCCCGCACTGGTGAAAGATGTTTGCATATCCCGAACTTCATTTACCACCCAGATTATCCGTCAGCATAGGTTCAGGGCAATCAACAAAGAGACAAAGTAACTCACCTCAGACATACTGAATAAAACGCAAATAATACGTAAGAACTAGCAATAAGTAAACCGGCAATTGCTTTGTTATTTGTGTAGAGTGAACTTGGAGTCTCTTTGATCTCTGGCGCCTGGAAGACATCATGGCACCGCGCCATGACAAGAATGAATCGACGCCGAGCTTACATGTTCCCCATGTTAAGAATGTCAGCATCATAAACCGACTGGTGTTCCGGTTGGTCAAAGGCAAGTGTCTGGTCATTCGACATCCAACCACCAGGAAAGAAGGCACTTTGATCGATGTTGGGACCAGTGCCTGACAAGCCGTTGGTCGTATGCCAGGGGTGATTCTGGAAAGAGCCAGATTGGAAGTAGTGGGGTTGGAGTCCGTCAGCATATTCAAGGTTCATTTGACCTTGGAGAGCGTTGCCTTGGGCCACATGACTTCCCGGACTCTGGGTGTCAGGAAACACATCATCTCCGTAAGATGAGAGCATGGGGAAGCGAAGGAAATTCGGAGGATCCATGTTGCCTGGCCAAAGGGAACGAGGCTTCATGCCATTCTGCGCCATGCCAAAGGCATTCATGGCCTGTGCATTTTGCTGATGCTGAGAGGTTATGCCCTGGGATATCACATGGTTATTCTCCTTTCCTCCAAACATACGCTGCGGATATTTTTTGTTTGAGGGGGTTGGGGACGAGAAATCCGAGCGCGCGTTCGTATTCGAATTGAGGGAGAGGGACTGGAGGGGGAGACGATGACGACCGCGGAATCTATAACAGGGACAATCAATATACCGTATCAGAACAAAGCATGTAGTGGTCGGTAATATCCGACCTTGACTCAGTTTGGCCCTCAATTTTCAATTGCGAGACTTTCAAGAGCAGACATGTTAGTGATGTGCCATGCTATGAAGAGGCCGAGGAAGGGACTCACCTCCAGAGTCCCCTTCATCTTCACGGAAACCATCTAGTCCCGCAGTGGTCGAGCGCGAACCATGGTACGACTGGGAGGAGTTGGTCCGAGACAAGTCGAGGGGCCACTGTTGGGTCATTCTGGAGGGCCGACCGGGTCTGGCCCTGTTTCTGGTCCTAGAAGAGAAGTCATTGTCGCGGTCGCTCTCCTCCTCGAGGTTGTCCTCGAGATCTGCGTCGAAGTCATTTTGTGCTTGTTCGGCAATCTTAGTTATGGCCAGCGCGGCGCTACCACGCTTCACCCTTGCCTCCGTAACCCCATGAACCTGAGCCTGTCCAGCAGAAGATGCCTGTCTCTTCCGAGTTCGAGAAGCTGACTTGGGTGTATCGACAGATCCTTCCTTTTTGATGGCGGGCTTGGATGCTGTGGTTCTCGCCCTCTTCGCTTTCGGTTGTTTCTGGGTTAAAGTCGGGTGAGTAGGACGTACGAATCGTGGGGGCAAGGAGCGCGAGAGGACATATGGTAACTTACCGGCATCACTTCCTCCTCGGTAGCGCTATCATATATATCACGGGTCCGTTCGATGGTCATGTTCCTGTCACAGACCATCAAGGTAGGCTGGATAGCCGATGATTCACGCATCATCCTGGCCACAACAGAGCTGTCTTTGCGCTGGTTGCGCTTCTTCTTGTTCTCCGGAGTGGCCGAGTCGAACATGTCCATTCCGGGCCAGTATACCCCTTTCAGCTTCATTCGTTCGTTTCCGTGTTCCGACTCGTTGTCCGAGAGGAAGCTGATACCCGGCGAGCGTGCGTTCTCGAGGGCAGGGTCATTCTCGAAATAGGGCATTGGTTGCAGAGAAAAGCTGCCGGAGTCGAAGTCGAAGGAGCCGCTGTTGTTGGGATTTCCGGTGAAATCGAAGCCATGTCCGTGGAAGTCGAACTGTTCCCCAACAGGGGCTGGCCTAATGGCAGCATTTTCTCGGGGCTCCCTCTTGACCTCGCCTTCATTTGTTTTTCTCTTCTTCGACGACTAGCCATGATTCACACACCGGTAAGCAATAGATCCCGTGAAAGAATGGGATGGTCAAGACGGGTTAGAGACGAGTTGAAACTTACCGTTGATGGGTTGGGGCCCTTTTTACGTTTGGCGACCTCTCCCTCCTCTCTCTCCTGTTTCTTCTTCTCCTTGTCGTTCATGCGGTTGGCGAGCATCTTGCTGATGTTGTTTTCCTTGAACCAGAGATCGTACTCCACCATAGCCTTCATTGCAGCGGGGTCCGTTTGGGTGGAAGCTTTCACTCGTGCATCGAATTCGCACTTGGTATGCCCACGGGAACCCAGATGGGTGAGAAGGTGGGAGAGGTCGGAGAACTGCGGTTGACCGGGGCAAGCAGAACAAAGCAGCGGGACGGTCGACGAGGCGACTTTGGGGGTCTTGCGCCGCTTTGCAGAGCCATCTACAGAGCCCAACTTGGATTTTTCGCCGTCATCCGATGTGCTGGCGGTCTTGACGAAAGATTGGAATTCTGATGGCGCCGTGTGAACTGTGTCAGGCGAGCCATGGGATCGTTTGATGGAATGATCGGTCGAGGAAAAGGACGTAGGGAGACTGTTGGTTTCTTCCAGGCCAATGTCGGCGGAAGAGAATCCAAGACCACTATCCTGGAACAATGCAAGGTTGGGCAGCGTATTCTGAGCGAGGTCATGGCACGGTGAGACCGTCGAGGTGGGAATTGCCAATGCGGAGGGTTGGATGCCCAAGGGCTGAGAGGCAACATCTGCCATGTTCTGTCGCTAGGTCTGTCAGCAGCTCATCCATATAACACAAAAATATACAGCAAATGACGAACGGGTCCGCGAGTTATGTCAAGCGGCCGCCTTGGCCTGGCCTGCACAGTCGAGGCCTGGAATAGACCCGGCAAACCAACGAACTAACAAGAGCCAACGCGAGCGTACGGGGAACAGCCAGGGCGCCTTTGTCGTAGACTTCGAACAGGGGATTAGAAGTCAAGCAGTGTGGTGAATGAAGCAGCAAAGGTGGGAAGTGTAGAGAGGACCAAGCAGTTGGAAGCAATGGAAAGCAAAACGAAGGCCAGACAACACTCTCGCTCGGGATGTCTACCAGTGCCGCAGCATCGCAGGGCAACGACCAGGCGAGTTGAATCCGATGGAGCAGTTGGGCCGTAAACAAAATGATGAGGACCAGAGGCAATTGAAGGGATAAAAACACGACCGGATCAACCAGCCTACCAAACCATGGCGTCGAGTTCTTCCGAGAAGCCAAGAAGACTCGAGAGTGAACACACCTTTAACCAGGTAGGTAGGCAGGCATCTCTGGCTTTAGAAAAAGAAAGAAATAGCTGCGGATAAACTTACCGTCCCATAGGGTTCGACATCCAGGGGGGCTTCGAGCTTGTGAGCTCTGGCCCTGTTACCACCGCGTTTGCGAGGCATTGTGGAAAGGGCAACCAAGTTGCAGCGTCCATAGCGGCAGCGACAAGGTGCGTTGACCACGAGATCTCGAGGAAGGAGAGAAGGGTAAGAGTACAGCACTGCAGCAATGCAGTGACTTGGAGTCGGTCGAAACTTCCGTCTCGTCGAACCTTCACTGTAAGGTACCTTAGGCTAGGTGGCCAAAGGTTTCTGTTGTCTACAAACCCGGAGGGCTCAAAATTAGCAATGGAGTGATGGTTATTGATGAAGAAGGCACAACCGAGGGGAAGCGCGTGATCACCCACAAAGTATCAAGACACTTCCTCAAGGTTAGAAATAACCTGGGAAAGCAACGAAAGTCGTCGGTACAGGCTACCAGCTCTCTAGTCATTCAATATCAGTACCTTATGTTGGCGATGTATCACGGACAAGTATGGATGTGATATAGCAGGAGATTCTGGAGTATGGAGTTGGAATGGTAAGAAAGCTGGCTGTAGTGCCTGGGAGAGAAGATTAGGGCTTGTGCGTGGTGATGATGTCACGCAGCGCGAGAGTCTCTCTGAGAGTTCACGCGTCACGCGTCGCGGTTAGGGTTAGAGTATATTAGGCAGACGTGTCGAGGCACCGCCAGGGGATGTTGGGATATCGAAGTCATGGGTTGGAAGTGCTAAGGAACACGGGAGAGAGACCTGAGCTTACCGATATCACAGCAGCACCTGGCGATGATACTCCTAGGCGCAAGCGGTGTTGTCGTGATACTACCTACCCGGGTAGGGGTGGGTATAGGTCAGAGCTCGAACAGAGAATTTTGCACTGACCAGAGCCAGGACAGAGATATCGCTGTCAACATAATGTTCTAAGACTTCGGACATCTGACCAGTCCATCGAGCTCTGACCTATAACCAGCCAAACCCGGGTAGGTAGATAGGCAAGCGCAACACTCAAGGAGCATGCCCAGGTTGTGGTCGTGGTTGCGGTGGGAAGGTGCGGCCAAGAAAAGAGTGGAAGGAAAGAAGGGTCAGGTAGGAGGAGTAAAAACCTACGCCCAAGCAAGGAAATATTACTTTTGGTATGTCTTCCGTAAAGGTAAGGCGGTAAAGACGTTGTTTCCGTCACTCGAAGTATCCATGTACTTCATAGGGTGTTTTGTGAGCTGTCGCCGTTGCTACCTTATGAAGAAAAGTTCCCGGGTTTTTTGAATCCAGGACGGAGTAAGTGAATAGGAGCCCACGCACTTATTCGGCACTACCCTAAGCTGGCGGGGAGTATCTACCTACATGATGCTGAATCCATAACTAAATCCGCTCATGGATTACGAGACGGCTGAGATGCCATGAGACTGGGTTCGATGGGCAAGTGTAGCTCTGTCACGTCCACCTACATATGAGGCCATATTGACGATGATGATGTGCGTTGGCATCTTGATTCAATTTTCTCTCTGCCTACTCACCTTGACATGATGGGCCGATGTATCTGTGTAATCTTCCCTAGTGGGAGGTGGAGGTAGGTGGTGTCCGGAGTGCTCATAGCTGCTGATGCTCTGTAGCAGCAGCGCAAGCTGAGAGACCTCGTCGTAGGAAGACATTCTGTTCAGGCCCTATGAGAGGCAAGCACATTAGAAAGAGGAAACAAAGAATGTGGTCGGCTCAGAAACAGAGAGCATTGCTCTTGAACTTGTATATAAGTAGGCCACGATGAGCGGGTCCTACACCAAGGGCCGAAACCCTCCAGGTAAACACATGCGTGCCTTAAGGGTCATCCGTGATGGACTTCAGATGCCAGGATCCAAGGGAGCTGATCGTAGCCATCAATTTGTCTAAGAAAACTGGTCCATTACTACCTGAGGTTGGAGGCCATCACATGTATGTAAAATTGAGGATACTCACAGGCAATCGTTTGGTACGTCTACCCCTTGACCAAGCCCCAGGAACCAAGCATCCCTCCATAGCAAAAAAAAGTGCGACGGCCATATCAAGTTAGAGAGGGCAGCCATGGTGAAATAAGTGCAGCTCCTGCCATGCAATGTCTGAAAGCAAGCACAGGGCCATGTCGCATGGGAACACGCGATACCCATGAAAAGGCAAACATGTTGCTCTCCTCTCGCCTTGTATCCTGACTGCCACGGGGAAGCACGTTTAGCAGGTTATTAGATGGCGAGAGGAAATTGGTAAAGCCAGCTCGAGTGTATGGGACATGGAGAGCGGGACAAGGAAACGAGGAAAAAAGACAGGCATGAAAAACGCGTCGCTCCCAAGATGATCCATTGCGAGAAGACCGGCGTCTTATCACAAGAAGTGGCCTCCGTCACCTCCCCATGACCCGGTCGATGCTCGCCTTTGGCATGCAATATACAGGGTCTACCGGTTCAAGCCCCGGGTAGTTGAGCAGGCTCAGACCCGAGACTCCGAAAACCGTGTGCCAAACGTCTACCATGTCTCCCGGCCGGTCCGCGATCCCGCCGAGTTCAGAATCCTGACAGCGGAGGATGAAACCGATGAGCTGCTCCCGATCGATCCAATGAGTGCGTCCGATCATGGCCAGACTACTGAGGACCCACCAGCTATAGCAGACGTCCTCCTTCTTTTCAGGGCGGCCATTGAGACCTCCCCCGGCAATCTGCCGCTCGCTGAGCCAACGACCCAGCTTATCGGCGTCGACTAGGTCCAAACGCCCGGCGATGGACAGGGCAGCCACGCAGGTAAAGACCTGACCGGCATGGGACTCGGCCCCAGGGCTGACGCCGTACCCCCCGTCAAAATTGACACAGGAGACGACGTGTTCCACGGCCTTATCCACATCGACGAGAGACAAAAGGCCCAGAAGAGACAAAGCGTTGAGCGCGGCGTACAGGAACCGCGTGTCCTCTTCGCCAAACTCGTCCCCGGCAAAGGTTCCCGTGGCCCGGTTCTGCAGATCCGCGACAACTGTTGCCGGGATTAGACCGGGGACGGGCGGAACAAAAAGAACTGCAATGAGGAATACTACTTACACTGTCCTACCTGCACCTTTCCCGCCCCGCGTTGCTCGAGGACATCTAACGCGTCGAGCATGACCAGGATTTGGATGGCGTACAGGGTGGGAAGCATGTGAGCGTCGTGGCCCGGGGCAGCACTAAAGCCGCCGCTTGGGTGCTGGCATGAGAGAACGAACTCGATAGTCTTGTCACGGGGAAGAGCATCAGGATGACCCAAGAGATGCAGCGCGTTCAGGCCCCAGTACACGCCGTTGAGGCGAAGGTGCTCCGTGAGCCAGTAATCGTACTCGTCTTCCTTGGTGTCGAGACTCTGTATGTACTTTACGTGCGCAGCAGTAACGAGCTTGAGCTCCTCCGGAAGCTTCTCGGCATGACCAGTCATGATGCTGCAGTGATAACGGGCGGGTAGTTGAGGTGAAGATGTGGAAACGAAAAAAAGACTAGGAGGAATGTCGAAATAGACGTTGAACCATGCCCCACCGGACCCGCCTTACTCAGCAAGAATTACATGCCAAGCCATACCACACCGCTTGGATCATCAACTTCGTGCTTTCCCATGTTTTCTTTCTGAACAGGCTACGTGGGTGAATTCTTGACCCCGTATTGCTGAGACCAAACTCCCAGTGTAATCTACTACTTCATCCATGAAACCTTGTTTCGCCACTTGGGAGGTTGGAGTTAAGAAGTACGTAGTTCAGAACCCCGACAGCAAAATCTCCGTGCTTGCGCATGACCGGGTCCATCTTCTCTCGGTATTCCCTGTCCCGCGCTTTGCTACCAACCAGAGAACATACTATCTCACGCAGACTTGTATCGTTTTGACGAGTAGTCTGGAAAAGCTCGTCGATCACGTCGGGAAAGTCATCATCCATCCGCCCACACTCTGCGCTTCTGTAGAAGCGGTCTCGGGCGAGTAGTCGAAGCGCCGGCACGTCGTACTTGTCGGCCATAACGTATAGTCTAAGGGGGAGAAATAGGCATCGCGGAGGAATGGGAAGGTCGAGTGCGCCCAAGTTGTCAGATTCGTCACAATCAGCAACGGGGTCTGGGGCGGAGGCCTCGGGATCTTCTTCGAATGTAAACTCCGACTTCGGTTCTGTCTCGCCTGGAAAAGTGTCAAGAGCGACAAGAACTTTCCCGGGGGGCGTCAAGGCGGCGGAAGACAGCTTTCCAAAAGTGGGAGTTTCTCCGTCTTCATAAGTTCCCGTGTACATAAACTGCAAAAAAGGCTTGACGGTCTCCGGGTCGTCGTCGGGGAGGTCGATGACTCCCGTAGTGCTCTCCTTACCCCAAAAATAAGCCTGTGGGATCTCAAAAGAAATGAGCCGGAAACAATAAAACCATCACCGACGAACCTTGAAGCCACCGGTCATAGCTTTGTCAAAGAAAGGGGACTGGGTGCAAACTACTGCACGATGGACTTTAAATTCCTCGCCCCGACAAGTAATAGTCATATCGGAGAACTTCTCATTGAGGAACAGCGTAGATAGCGAGGAGAATATAGAAGTAGTGCGAAACTCGACGCTTTCATCCCAAGCCGCATCAGATGCGGGCGGGGAGGTCTTCATTTTGGGCGATGAAGACTGAGGTGGTCTGGACTCTGGAGATTGGTTAGGAAGTGACGAGTAGGTCCCCATATCAGATATGGTTAACTGTCGCATTAGCACGAGCCTCGGGGGTGGGCACAGGCCTCGGGGGTGGAAATTGTCGCACGTCAAAATGGCACTTATATAAGGGCCTTACTGGGGAGCCTAGACGGAATAATCCTCGGGCTACACTATGTGGGGGGAGGTGGGGCGATAACAAAATTACTAAGGCGCATAGGTATCCCACCTATTTTGTATATACTCTTCGTGTAACAATTCGTGCTCTTTATCGTAATTTCCGTAGGGTTGATTGCTATCGGTCGTGGAATCTATCGTGGTAGGTAGGTGGCTGCTGTTAGGAATAGCTTTAAATTATAATTATGAATAGCGTTAGTTTCACAGGAACGTGGTGGTTGGATTAAACCCTAAGATAAACCGTAGATAAGAATTACGATAAAGAGCACGAATTGTTACACGAAGAGTATATACAAAATAGTTGGGATACCTATACGTGTTAGTAATTTTGTTATCGCCCTACCTCCCCCTATATAGTGTAGCCCGAGGATTATTCCGTCTAGGCTCCCTAGTAAGGCCCTTATATAATTAACTTAATCGAGTAGAAATTATTAAATAGGCCGTAAGATACGGTTACGTAACGGGCCGGATTTAACCGAGATTATAGTCTTAGTAATCAGGGTGGATACCTGTAGAATCTTTACTATATAAATTATAGTGGCAGGAGTTCCCTAATAGTCTAGGATTTTATTATTATTATTATTATTAATCTTACTCCGCTATCCTGACTAATCTATAGGAGCCTTCCTAGGCTATACGGTCCTTCTCGGGTGGCTATAAAGGGGAAAACCCGGGTAAAACCCTGGGAAAACCTCTATACACTTCCTTAGGTAAAGAGGTACCGCTACGGGGCCGATATAGCCCCGGTTCTTCCCCGTTACGTATCTGGATCTTACCTTTAGGCTAATAGCTAACGGGAAGTAAAGTAGGCTAGTGGTTAGGTAAGTTAGCCTAAGCTAATCTCTATCGGTAGAGCGGGGGCTAAGGGGGCGTTACCGTGCTACCGCTATACGGCGGCTACGGCTTTTTAGCCTTAGTCTCCTTATATCCCTCGAGGATCGTGCCTTTTATTCCTTCTATTCGGTTAATAAAAAGAGTAGGGGGGTAAACGCCTCCTGCCTCCCTTAGGTGGGTTCCTGCTATATCCGGCGGCAGGTAAAGGGAATAAGGCTCTACCCTATTATAAGAATTAGATTATTGATATCCCCTAAGGCCTTTATGCCTTAATCCTCCCTCTTCTTCCTATAACACTAACGATTTCGTTATAGGTTTCCTCCCGATCTATTCCCGCTTACGGTCCCGTAGGTTTATCGTTACGGCTTATACTAACTAGTAAACCCCTCTAGGATTCTTATCGTTTTCCTATCGTAGTTTTTACTATAAGTGTCTCGCGGGTAGCGTCGCGGTAGCGTGGCGGTATAGGGTTAACTAGGTAGTATAGTATCGATCTATATATATATATAAGTAATTAATAGTAGTAGCTTAATATAAGTTCTCTTCGTGGCGTAGTAGTGCCTTTATGGCAGCGTGCTAATAGTCGTAGATATCTTCTCCTAATAATAACGCTGACACTAATAATAATCGTAACTATTATAAAAAGGGCTTAATTCGGGTTATACCGTATATAAACCCCGGTGGTATTAAGGCGGTGCCGTAATGGCTGACTTAGGGCAGTTATATTACAACCGCGCAGATGCGGTGTTAGAGTGGTTTAGCAGACGGTTATATAACCCCCCTTTTAAGGCCGCTGGATCCGCTGCCTATATATATATTAAGGATAGGCTCGGGACGTCCCTATCGAGGGATTAAGACATAATCATTATCCTCTTTTATAATTACTTGTTCTACGTTTAAGGTATCTTTCTAGCTTAACTTATATTGCCCTGATTAGAATAGTGACTACCGATCTACTTCTTCGCTAAAGGTTATAGCGGTGTTGGTTATATTTTGGTTATATATCGTGGTTTCGCTGGACTAACCTCTTTATCTGATCTTTATCTTAACGATCTAGTGCTACTACGTCTTTATCCAGTTATAATATAGTGCTCGGAGGCGGATTTATTCGGCGTCCCTAAAGTATTATAACCCTGATTAGAGTAATAAAGGCGCTTAAGGGAGGTTCCGGCCCTCCTAAACGGACTATTAGTTAATAACCCTAGGAAGAATATAAAAATAATAACTAAGGAAGAATTTAACGCTTTAAGACTAAGGGGAGATTTGCCCTAATAAGATTAGGAAAAGAAATAATTACTTAGGTAAGAGTTAAAGAACTATTAACACTTTTAATTATAAGACCCGCCGCTATAGAGGTGGTAATTATAGGAATAGAAGAAACCGATTAGATCGCGATAGAGTTAGATTCTGGATATAGAATAGACTCGATAGGGGACTTATAACCCCTACCACTAATTAAAATAGATTCTCGTATAACTGCGAAGAAAAGATAAGACCGCCGAGAGTAGCTTACCCGGATTAGGGTAACTAAACCCTAGTAGACCTAATAAAAAGCTAATACTAAGCGTAGGAGCGAAATAACGATACCTTATAAGAGGACCCGATAATCTAGTAAAGACCTCTACGGACCCCGTAAGTAAGTTATAATACTTCTTTATAAGATTTAGCGTATAGTGCTTTTAATATTAATATCTATAAGTATAGCCCCTTTACTAATAGGTAATCTTCTAATCGTGGGGGGCCTCTTCTTTTATAGTGAGTTAGAAAAGCTTGACCCCGAAGATAAGTATCACGCAGTGAAACCTAGGACCGCCCTCTTATTAAAGACTTTATTACTCCTATTAAAACGAGATAATATATATAATAACCTAGCTAGTATTTAGAATACTTATAGGATCTTCTTACTAGACGATTAATTCGAAGAACCTTTCTCTAAACGCCCTAACCCTATTATTATTATTCGCCTACCCCCTTATACTTATACCTAAAATACTATAGATACTTAGAATTAGTATCGCGAGCCTACCCCTGTTATTATTATTAGCGACTCCGATAATAAGGCTCCCTCGCCGGCTATTCCCCCTATTCTAACGCCTGCTACTTCTACTACCCCTGATTAGGGGAACCACGATATCGGGGCTACGGCCTTGCCTCCGCCCGCTTCTAGGCTAACTACTACGTTTACCGCGGCTCCGACTACTATTTCGATAACTACCCCTAATACTGCCCCCGGATTAGCCTTTAGATCTACCCCTGCCTATACATTAACTATTACCCCTGCCTACCCTATTTTTATTGCCTAGCCCGCTTCGAACGCTCCTATTACCGCCGCCCCTAAGCGTTAGTAGCCCCCTACTACCGCTAAAGACCTAATTAAGCTGCTATAAGCCCTGATAAGCCGTGACCGAGAGAGCACTATCGCCGAGGTTATTAAAGCCCTACCCCTTACTACCGCTACATCGAGAGCACCCCTAAATCCCCTTGCTATTAGAGCTTCCTGCTTTAGTGGTAAGTCCCTCTCCACGTTCCTTTAGTAGTACGATAACTACAGTAAGCTTAACCGTCTTAGTAAAGCCGATAAGATTACCTACGTTAACCTATACATGGACACGGCTATTCGTCCCGCTATCGAATGCCTAGTTAGAGAGGTTTAAGCCGCTAAAGGTAGTTAGTCTAATCTAGTCGAGAAGCTTATTAAAGAGTACTCTTATCTAGATCCTAACTACTAACTTAACTTCTTTTACGAGGTTTATTAGCTTCGGGTAAAATATAAGACGTATAAGATTAATAGCATTTATTAGGTTAGGGACTTACTATAGTAAATTACTACCTAGAAGGCTAAGGTAGAGCGGGTCTAAGGCACTTTTATTAAGGACTCCGAGCTCTACGGTATCGTCCTTACTATTCTATATAGGGATATCTATATATTTATCGCTAATAAGCTTAAAATTAGAGGCACTAACTTAAGAAAGATAGTTAAGAGCTATAAGCTACTTTTAGACCTACTACGCGAGTAGTCTACAGATATCTAGGAAGTAAAGGGTAAACCTATAGATAGGGACGCTATACTAGGTATAGCTAAGTCTAATTAGCCTAATCGTACCGCTTTCTAGCCTATAATCTTAAGGCGGCCTATTATAGTCTAGGAGTCTATAGCCTCTTAATCGGATATAGATAAGCTCGCCGACCTCCTTAAGAAGTATACTATTTCCCTTATCTATAATAGAGTTAAAGGTATTAGGGGTATTACCGCCTAAGTATATAAGGAACGGAGTGGCACTATAGATTAGCACTATATAGGATCGGAGATACGCTCGGATCGCCGAGCACTCGGCGAGACTAAACTACTATATCAGCACGGAGGGGGAAAAGTCTTCTTTTCCTCCTTAAGTTAAAGTCTTAATAATATATAACTATTAAGTCCGAATAGTATTATCCGTTATGGTGTATCTTTTCCCTGGTATTATAGCCTATTCCTTAATAAATTCTTTAACTTCTATACCTATAAGGTTACTAGACTAAAGATACCACTAAAGCGGACTTTACGAAGCACTGCCGACGCCGAGCAGGCGGATACGGGCGTGTAATAAAGAGAGCCTATTCGAGGTATCGAAGAGCGTTAGGACTAATAGAATAATAATAACGATACGGCCTTATCGTCGTCTCTTAATTCGGTACGAACGCGGACGTTATCCGTGGATAATCGTCCACGGAGACTCGATATCGAATAAGCGAGGAGCGCCGAATAGTCGGCGAGCTACGCGTCTTCCGACTATATAGGGGAACTATCCCCGATAACTACCGAGAACCTATTCGCTCTACTAACGCGTTAGGTGTAATAGTAGTAAGAGTTTAACTAGCAGATATAGAGGCAGAACGAAGCTATCCTATAGAGGCTTATCGAATATCCGGCGATAAAGCGCGAATATAAGAAGCCACCGGTCTATAACTATAAGACCCTAGGAGAGAACGCGACTATTATTAAGATTAACGACTAAGTATCCGCGGTTAAGGCCGGGAACCGTTTTCGGGTAAAGGCCCCTATACTCTAGCTAATTAAATAGGCTGTAACTAAG